GAAAAAGAAGAGGAATCTCAGTTACCACTCAGTGTAAAATGTGTCAGGGGGAAATGAAGTGGGTGTTTAACTTCTGATGCATTTTTACAAGAGTGTGTGACTCTCAGCATGTGTGTGTGTGTGTCTGGATGCCACATTTGTGTGAGTTTTCATGCTAACACACTGTTAGAAACAGACACTGCGCTGGACATGTGGACAAAGTGTCATGTCCTGACCAGTGTGCAGACCTTAGCAGCAGAGAAGAGCTGCTCCATCTACACCCAGTGAAAACATGTGAGCGCGTCTGGATGGAAACACAATCAGTCAAACCACATCTGCTGTCAGCCAGCTGTCAAGAACATCTGCTCATCAACGAGCTGTAGATGAGCTGGAGCTCAGCTGATACCAGTGAGGGAGGAGGCTGCTGCTACATGAGGAAAGCAAGAAGCAGCTTGAAGAAGCCAAGTCTGATGTGACGGACTCTGGGTGCGAGTGGCAAATGAGAGAGATGTGAGGCTGCAGAGGCAAGCACACAGAGCGTTAGTGAGGAGGGAGAGAAGAGTGAAACAGGTGTTAGACCAGGAAAGCCAGTGGAAGCAGGTCCCACTAAAAGCCATAAATCTGTTTGTTTGCAGTTTTAGTTGGGCGATGCGTTGTGCAGGTGTCACTTTTCTGTCAAACGCTGCTCTTTTCCAACCAAGCAACCAGTGGATTCATCCAGAAAGCAACCAGCAGATGGATCCAAAATCAACAACATCATCAGTCATGTATGGGACAGTTCAACACTAAGAGCAACCTGATGAAATCACATTTTAATACTTTTAATACTTAACATTTCCAGTGCAGGACTTGTACTGGAGTATTGTTACAGTGTGGTGTTAGTGAGGATTTTATAAAGTACAGGATCTGACAGTTTTGATTACGTACTGAACGTTTCACATGTTTAACCATGATGAAACCATGCTGTGACACCGTCACAGCACTGTCACTGAACAATTAGCAGATGTGACTTCACTGAACATTCCTCGTTGCTTCATACGAGCAGTTTGTCTCTTTCAAAAACTATTTTTGGATAAAAAGAAATGGGATGCAAGAAAGACAGAGGACATTTGGCTCCAGCTCTCTGTCCCGGATGTTCCTGAGATTCCTTCTGTTTGATCTCAGCAGCCTCTCAACACAGTGTGTGTGTGTGTGTGTGTGTGTGTGTGTGTGTGTGTGTGTGTGTGTGTGTGTGTGTGTGTGTGTGTGCATGCAGCGGTGCCCTTACCTGACTTGACGCTGCAGTGGATGTGGGCTTTGGACTCATAGTAGACCCAGTCGAATCCGGCCTCCACCGCCAGCCGCGCCAGCATGGCGTACTTGTTCCTGTCTCTGTCTGAGGTGGTGATGTCCACCGCTCGGCCCTCGTAGTGCAGCGACTCCTCCGAGTGGTGGCCGTCCTCATCCCAGCCCTCAGTGACCCGCAGCCGGACCCCGGGCCACAGGTTCATCACAGAGATGGCCAGAGAGTTCAGCTTGTCTTTGCAACGCTGCAGCACAGGAGACAAATGATCTCATCTTTGTTAAAGTATATTCATGCCCACATAAGGGAGAAATGTTGTGCAAACACAGTGACAAACATACACAGTGAATACAACGCATGGCTAAAAGTGTGTGAACAACCACATGGCTGTGACACTGCAGCAGGAAGTGTTGGAAAGGACCTGCTCACCTCCATCATGTTTTCATATCGCCTCTAGACACAAAACAACACTTCTGCCTGAGAAAACACCAGCAGGTCACAATTGTCTCACCACTTATTAATTTGTCGAGTTTTCCAGAGGGCTTTTATTCTGAAAGGCCTGCAGTAAAGTGCCCCTCACACTTCCTGAGCCAAGCAGCTGACTATCGAGGTTTTAATTCGAATTTATTTTGTGAAGACTGTTTGCACTTTGAGTCTCCTTTGTTTATAGCCTGAGTACATGTTAAGTTAAAATGAAGGTGATGACAACTAATCACTTAATAGTTCATGTTTTCTATTCATTTTCTCTGTGTCTCACAGTCTCCTCACATGGTGAAACCCAGCTGCCTCCTGATGCTGCACTGAGCCCAGACTCTAAACCCAGAAAGCATCAGAAAAGCCTAGAGTCTTCACAAAGACCCATTCTACATCCATGTACTTCACCAAACCTCTGTGGCCCCCCATCACCCCGACCTCCCTGTGGCTTCAGCCTTCCCACAATGCATCCCTGCTGTCCCAGCCTGATGTTTGCTCTCTGTGGTGAATAAGGGAGCCGGGAGGCGCTGCTAGGGGTCCTCAGGGTCCCTCTAAACATGGAGTCTGGTCAGGGTGAGCAAACAGAAGGGGAAAGAACCCACTGAAGGGCTCACTAGACCCCAGCTGGTCTAGGCTGTCCTGTGCATCTCCCCCACAGTCTTAATATCTCAGGTGACCTTTCAAATACACCTGCTCTGATGTTGGTCATCAATATCTGACCCACTGGGTCTACTGGTATTTGGAAAGTCTAGAAAAGCCATAAGATTATTTTTTATTTTATCCCATTCATGGGTGCAAAGAACCAAAAGGTGACAGTGGGACAGGACATGGTGTCTCTCAGCTACACTCCCCCTCCACGACTCTCTGCTGCCTCCAGCCCTTCTGTTGTTCTTCCAGCTTCTCCACCCTGTGTTGTCAACGTACGGTCTGTAAATTAGCTCCACCTGCCACCTAGCCAAGGATAAAAAAGTCTTTCCGAACTCTGTCACTATGGCAATAAACACAACACATGCTGAGAAGACATTAACAGTTGGAACGTGTCCTCTGGGGGAGTATTTCGAAACACTCTACTGATCAACCTGAGGAGGGCGCTACTTCACAAACAAGATAGGGTATTTCAACATATCATCTGTCCACATCTGGCTGCATTTCACAGGAATCCCAGGGTGAACATTCAGGAGGCAGTTGGCCACACAGAGGTGAGAGTGCTCAAAGCGTGAAGCGTTGAGGCTTTGAATGAGGAGAGATTCTCCAGACGATCGTCCCTTTTCCTTTAACCTGACACCTTGTTTCAACACAACACTGCACTGTCACTGGATAAATTTAAGAGCAACCGTGTTGACCAAAGGGGAGCTGCATGAATGAAAGTCAGAGTCTGTCAGCCACCACTGGCTGGACTTTGATGGATGAGGCTGTGAATAATGACACAGATTGGTCTCATTAATAAACATTGGCTGCGACTCAAACATGAATGGTGGCGCTGATTTTGACCAGAGCTCCAACAAATAAACGTGAACTGGGTCAGATTGAACAAGTTTTTAAATGTTTACTGACTGCATCTCTTCATCATTTCTAACTTTAACCCAGTGGTTCTACTTGTTCGATTGTAATAAAACTCAGGGAGTGGATGCATTTTGGCTCTGTCTCTTTTTGTGCCATTTGTACAACGTACAGTCAAACAGCTCAGTAGCTCTGTGGACAGGAAACAACCAAAAGGTCAAACCAGCAAACTTTAATAACAAACTCCGCTCACATCTGGTCTCTGGTCCATTAAAGGTCAAAGTCTCAGAACTTTCAGGCCACATCTGCTCTGATTTGGACCAAAGCTGAAAGTTTAATCTTTAGGCTTTGCTTCAATTTGCTGACAGATCGAGTAAAAGAATGAAAAACTGCAGTTATTAAAGTGTTGTCTGGTTTTCCTGCGGCCTCTGAATGCATGTCTCATTCATGAATCTCAGCCCATTAAGCCTGAAAACTGGGATTAAACCTTATAAATGTCTTTTTTCACTCTGGCTGTGATAAGAATAGCTCGTGGCTCAGTGGCCACAGATGCCTTTTCACAACGTGGATTTTAACGTCTCGTGTTTTCTCTCTGCGGTCACGGCAGCGAGCTGGACTTCATAAATCAGACGATAGATTTAGTTGGTTTTCCTTTCAAGGTATACAGATCGACGGGGTTTCAGCACCAAACCGCTGGCTGCACAAACACAGGCTGACAACACCTCCACTGAGCAGGGCCTTGAGTGTCACGAGGCGTCTACAAGTCTTGTCAGCAAATGCTAAAGATTACTTTCCAATGCATGCGATTGGCTGGAAAAGCTTCTTCTTCTTTAATCGTTTAAGGCCACGGAGCGATTTGGCTTTTTGGAAGAAGTGTATGTATCATATCGTAGAGAAACCCCTGAAATTCGTGAAAATGGGTTGGAAATAAATGTACCAATTAGGCACTTTGTGTATTTCTTTGTGTGTACTGTGAAAGTTAGAGTTGTGTGCATTAAATGTTAAATGACACTTTGCAGCATCTCAGTCCGGAACAGTCTGTAGCAGGAGCGCCCAGGAAAAGGCCAATCAACAATCCGTCCCATTAAGACCCAGGTGAAGAGGTTCTTTTTGCACGTGTGCGCTGTCAAAGCAAACAAGGAACTACACAGAATAGAAAAGACAATCAGGGGGCTGTGCCCTGCGGTTTGGAGCCCGTACATTGCGTGCAGGTCAGCACCGCTGACGCGCAGCGGCTCTGGGCGCGCTGCAGAAAAGAAGTGCTGTTTGGAGGAGACGATTCATCTCGTTGTCTGAATTGATCATTTCATTAACAAGATGCAGGGGAGCTGAGCTTACGGTCTTTGCGTTTCCTGCTGTTGGACATTTTGGATTCATTTTCTGAGACAAGTGAAAACATATTTGAGAGAAAGTAAAATCCCCACTGGTGTTCGGAATTTAAAACTCACGAATGAGGTTCATCTGGGTTAAGACAAACACCCACACATGCAGATGTTGCCTTTACTGACACTGTGTCTGGTGCGTTTGTACACTCTCCGGAGGAGAGTGCGCGCAGGGAGGTGACAGCTCCTGACGGGAGTGCGCGTTTTCATTCCCCACGTGGGTCTGTGGACATAAACGCTGCCACTCGGGGAGGAAGCCCGCGGTCACAGGAGCCAGATATAAATACTTTATTCCTGTGGAAATTGGGAGTCAAATAAATTCCACCTGGGCCCACATCAGTGACTTAGTCGTAAAATGTATGACAGTCCAAAGGCGACAGCTAATTCTGGCCAGTCGGGCTAAAAACGAAAACGGTAAACACGAGTCCACGCTTGACCCGGGCTTTGACCAAATAGGACTTTTGGCTGGTTTTCCACCAAAATACATGATGTAAAACAGAGCACACAGTGTTGTAATTAAGAGCGACCGCTGTTCCGTGGAGTTTGAGACGGGGTTGCCCTCTTTTACGCATGAGCTGCCCACAGTGAACCTCCGAAACCTCATGTGGAGCAGAAGAGCCGAGCTCTGATTAAATCCGCACCTCCAGCATCAGAAACAAACCCAGTGTGTCAACGAGCAGCAGGCTTTTCGATCTGCCTGGAGGAGTTGTACACACGGACACCAGTGGTTTTCACAGAGCAGCACTGCAAAGAAATTCCACCGTTAACAAATTTTCATGATCAAAATGATTAAAATAGTCATTTCATCTAATGGAAATGAAAATAATCTTCCAGGAGAGCTGCCGTCGAATTAGGAGGCAGTTTGGGGAAAATCAGCACAAAAACCAGACTTTTCCCTTTAAATGCAGTTTCTTAAGAGAAAGGTGTGTGAAACGTGATTTCGTTTGTTAAGACTGGTTTGGTTGCAGTGACGAGCCTTGAGTCAACATGAAATACGGAAAAGATAACGGCGCCTATGTGTTTGCAGAATGGCCAAAGTGCATCCTTTAAGCGCACGACAGTAGCTCTTAAAAAAGCCGGTCGCAGTGCTGAAACCCAGGCTAAAAGGCACTACGGTAGCCAGGAGGGTTACCTGTGTCATCATGCGGTCTGCACCTGTGTTCTCCTCATCTTTGAAGATGATGTCGGGGTTGTAGTTCGGGGTGAGTTCCTTGAAGCGGTCTGAGTTCCGGGTTATTTTCCCTTCGTATCTCCCGCTGGCACCTAAAGTCTTCTCGGCCACGTTTGGGCTGAACTGCTTGTAGGCGAGCGGCACAAGCTTCCTCGGTGACCGCCTCTTGCCGTAGCCTCTGCCCGGCCCGCAGCCCTCGCTGACTGGCGAGAGGAAAAAGGCGCACCCGGCGAGGCAGGTCACCAGCGTAGGGAGCAGCATTCCGCCCCGGGGCCGGTGTGTCACCCCCGGCGGGTGGCCAAACTGTCACGGCTGTATGTCTTTTGATGTATGCCCGCCCCCTCCCCCTGCGTGGGTTACAACTTTAGAGTGGAACTAACAGAGCAGGACTCATCCCCAAGTCCCCAAAAGTCGCCATTCCCGGCGCGTAAAAGTAGCCAATGTGCCGCTGGAGACGAGCTGGGCAGACTTAAACCTGACCTCTGCGCCGCTGACACTCCTGTCCTGACGGCACACGCAGGCAGGGGCATAAATAGGCGAGGTGAGTTTATCTTGGCAGGCAGGTTCAAAGCGCTCTCTCTGTGTCAGAGCTGTGAGAAACAGACAGACACGGAGGCGCAAGCGCGTAGGCTGGCTGTGCCTGCCGGGCACGGCGGTCAAAGGGTGTCCCCGCAGCGGTTTCTGCCTCTCGAGTTTGTGCTTAATGCGTCCCTGTGGCGCAGGGCTGTTGGCAGAAATGGAAATGGTAGAGATCCTACTACAGTACAGATGAGGTGCCGCGGGAGAAGAAGAAGACCGCGCCCTGCAGGACCTGCCCTCTGCTCCGTCCTCTCCTCCCCTCGGCCGCCGCCTTCTGTTTATTGTCAGCCAAGAGGACAAACACCGATCGCCGAGCCACGGGCTGGGGCGCGCTCACGGTTCTTTGGCCCTTGGACCCTGGCCCTCAGGTCAAGACAGACGAACAAGAGTGCAGGTGCGCGCGTTGAAGCCTTATTTCTCCCAGAGTGACATAGCAGTCTGAGCTGCAGGTGAGGAAGGAACAAGCCTCCGACTACAGAGCGGCACCTACATCTGCTTTGTCACAATCCTACAGCAACAGTGGAGTAGCCCTCACACCACCTGGAAAGCCCTCATGGACCCTCTATGGCCCCACTTTTGAAATAGAAAAATCAGTCTGTGAAGCTGAAAACACTTCCAGTTATTTAGGGGTGAAATACACTACTGTACAGTCAACTCCCCTTTGAACCTGAGCTGAAATTGTTTTTGAACCTGAGCTGAACCTGAAATTTCAGCAATTTCCTACATTTCCAGGAACCCCCTTCCCAACCCAGCAGGGGAATGGACTTGAAGTCTGCACAGTGTGTGGTACATGTAAGCAGACAGTACAGTGATGAATGAAGGCGAGATGTGCATTGTCTATGCAGAGGTCTGAAATCGGTTTTGGTTTAAGCCATTTTCCCGCCACAATCAACCAACCAACTACCTTGATTTGTCAGATATTCCCAATTTGTTGGGAGCAACCCTGGTTGTTGCTCTTTCTTTGTCCCACTCGCTCTGTGCAAAAGACGCCACCTCTTCACTCTGGCAGCCACTGGTTCAGACCTTTAGCTGCCCAGGGCTCCTCCATGGCTGTTTGACATGACTACTGGTGGCTGGAAAGACTTTTCTTCTAACCTTGGCTAGGTGGCAGGCAATTTACAGACCATACTTTTGACAACACAGGGTGGAGAAGTTGGAAGAACAACAGGAGGGCTGCAGGCAGCAGAGGGTCATGGAGGGGGGTGTAGCTGAGAGACACCACAGCCTGGCCCACTGTCACTGGGTTTATCAGACTCTGTGGAGGGGCCAGAAGTTGGTATGAATAGCACATAAATACACTGTGATAGAATATTTCATCCATATGCAAACTGGGCACACTGGAAATATCTGGACATGATGTCACACTGTGAACATTTGACCACGTTACTAAAAATACAGGAGCAGACCAGAGAATTAAGCCTGAAATGATCAGTACCTGCTGTTTGTGGTGCGACAGATCTCTGGGGTCAACGTGCCCAGCTGACAGATGAGCGGGTCCTGAGCTGTGGATCGCTGCTGTGACTTATGGCAGAGGAAGGGTCCGGTTTCAGCGACAGAGATACGACACCCCCCAAGCTGAGCTGAGCCCTGGTTGCTGATGTCAGACCCTCACCAGAGGCCAAGCTGGGGTCTGAGGACCACCAGGGGCCTTCAGTGGCTGACAGGGACCCAGAGCCAAATTAAGTCTGACTGATTTCTGAGGGCACTGGTACTTCTTTACTGCTACTGAGTCCTGCTTCTGTACAATATCTTGATCATATCTACATATTACCAGATCTAAAGTAACTGTACTGCTTAGACATTTTGTATACGTCTTGTCTATGTACATAATCGTTTCCCTTCTCTGCTGTTGATTACCTGTGATGCACAACAAGCATTTCAATGTACAGCCATCACTGACACTTTTTGCATATGACAAATAAACTGGAATAAACAGCACCTTTATCAAGTTGACATGAGAGGCTGGAAAGTAAATAAAGAACAGGCAATACTCTGTTTTATGGCACCTTACTTTCTTCCTGGAGGATTGCTGGTATTTCTCTGACATTTCCTAGAGAGAGGGTTATATAATGTGGTACTGACTACAGCCTGGAACATGACCAGGTGTACCTGCTCCTTTCATCTAATTTATAATGTTTTACCATTTACATGAGAAACAGAAGCAGCCATTAACTCCTAAGGTAGGAAAAACAGCAGAAACTCTTAATTTTTTTACAAGTCTTGGTACTTGTTAACCCAGTGATTCTTTTACTGTCCATTAATCTATCGTTTGGGCTTTAAACCATCAGAACAGTAACTTCAGCCATCATAACAGCTTAGAGCATGAGGTCACTTCACCCCAAACCCAGTACCACAAGACCAAGCATGCAGCTAATTCTAACATCTGACAACCTGGAGTAACCAAACTTTTGCTTGAGAAGGAAACGATTATCAATTTTCTTTCAATTAACTAACTGATTGTTGACTAATGGCTGCAGCTGGAGTGGCACTGCTGAGCTGTACCTGCTCACCACAGTGGATCCCTCACAACTGATGTACAACAGTTTGTCCTCCACAGCCGCGTGGGAAACCTTCAAAGGGTACATGAGAGGAAGCTGATGTAAATGCTGTCATGTGCTCATGTCTGTATGACCAGGCCATGTGACCAGCGGCTCCAGCTTCACTTTCTGATACACTTCAGGCGGGTCAGTGAAGCCCTGGTGATCATTTATGACCTTTAAGACAGGATCAATGATTAAACCCTTGCTAACACCCTCGTCACATCTTTTGCAATTCTTCACAGCCTTTTCCAGGAAACGGCCTGAGGATCACTGGGAAATCTAATTCAAATGAATTACTAAAAACTATCTGGTGTGTGTGGTGCATTTCCAGTAAAACTGCAGCCACTTTCCAGTAACGCCAGTCACACACACACAGTAGAAATCCTCAGAGCTGTGTAGGCAAACAGTGACTTTTCAACTTACACTTCAATAGCATTCCCCAGATACTGCAACACCTTGAGTCAACATTTCATCGTGATCTGAAAAAAGGAGAGCGGTGGCTCCGTCGGCCACTGTCGGCCCATTACAGTGTGTTTACAAGGAAAACATTTCACCTGCATCCAGGAAGATGACTTGGTGGTTTTAACACAAAAGGAACAAATATAAACACTTCTGGATGCCTGTATTAAAAAAAAAAAAGTAAATTTAATTAAAGTGAAAGTTTATGGGATAAAACAGCTTTTGAAAAAAATCAGTGCTAGAGCAGATCATGTCTGTTGTAGAGTCATGTCTCCTCGTTCACTGTCTTACTGTATTTTCACCATTTCTTGAAGCTGATTTTGTGAATAAAAAAACAAAATTATTGTTCCATCTTTAATCAACATCAGTGTTCAGATAAAGCTCACCAGATTCTCATTTGAATGTAAAAGCTAATAAAAAAACTGGATTAAAAGTAACTCAAACTACAAGCGTCCTCCTTCAAAGTAAAAGCCTAAAAAAGCCTTTAAAGGCCTGTTCTAACATTTCTCCAATAAAACCGTTTTTATAACCAGAGTTCTTAGCAGCATGTGCGTCCTACTGCTTGTGCTCATCTGAACAGTCCGACGCCTTTCTTCTTCTTTGGTTTGGAGGGTGGGCGCTCAGTGTGCTTGGACGTGACTGACAGAGACTGTGGAGGACAGAGATTTGATTTTAGCATTGTTTACACTTGTTTTTTTTTACACTCTAATGCTCTTTACCCTGTCTGTCCTGTCTCCTACATAACATTTAGAGTACTTAGCTTTACCCAATTTCCTGATTTGTTGATTCATCTTGGTGTTTATTCAGCAAAGCCTTTAATTTATATATTTTTACAGTACATGTTTTTTTTTTTTAAACACATTTTCACCAAATGCTTTGCTTTGCTTACCAGTTTTCTATAGGTATCTCTGGAAACACTGGTCTCTCCACTAGAAACTGAGCTAAACCACATGAACCAGTGAATGTTTAGTAAAGAGGCTGCACTACACTGTTTTTGTTAGCAGACATATTTCACCACATGAGGTTTAGCTGCAGCCACTGGATGCCCCTGTGTATTTAAAAATGCCTCCATGTCTGTCACAGTTTCTGCCAATGTCAAAATGTCAGAATTAGCATGACAATCCACATTATAGTCAGTGGATGAGTTTAAGTATGACTGGGTGAGAGTCTGCTCCTCATTAACAGTCAGGTACTTGTGGTGCTCTTCATCCTGTCGATGTGTATGAAGCTACCGTACCTGCTGTGCTGCGGCTCTGTCGGCCATCTTGGCTGTGGGAACGTCCATCTTGCTGTTCTGTTCTCGCTCCTTCTCCGCTGGTTTGCTGCCAACAGATGCAGCACCTGGAGGATGAGAGGTGTTGATCAAAAAGGGTCATACCTGTGTGTACGACTGACTCTCACTGGTGCAGAGAGCTGCTGTCCCAGTCTGAACTGGCAAATCACTTCTGCTGATTATGGGTAAGGCGTTACATCCATCCAAAGGACTCCAACAAAGGTCGGGTACTACTGCAACTGGAATCTTATTTTCAGCGTAAAGCACGTTGTAACTTTAAGACAAGTGTTATTACTGAAATCTACAGAACTTGTGTTTATTCTCAGTGCCATGTGGATTTGGTTTCCCCACATGCTCTTCCGCAGGAACATTGGACAGTCATGTGATTCACTCATTTATAACCTTCACCTTCATTTAACCAACACCACTTCTGGCCATTCATTAATTATTTAAGCTATCTAAAAGCAAAAATATCAAACCCTCTCTGGTTTGTGCTTCTGAAATGCGAGGCTACTTTTCTCTTTTCTATCATTGCAAATTTAATATCTGCAGGTTCCGAAAACACTGGGAAGTTGTGGACATGATGAACATGATCCAGAAGTTGCAGAGAAGGTTTGCTTGTGGAGCTAAAAGTAACTGCTTTGCATCCAAATACTGAACTGCCAAGAAACTCCTGATGTAAATGGTGTACATGAAATTAGATATATTGGGTTTCTGTCCTGTCCTCAAATTAAAAACTGCAGAATCCGAACAGATAACATGATTGTTTTAATGTGTGAAGCTCTAAGTAGCAGGAGCATCCTGCACTTTGAATCCCACACACCTGGAGATGGGCTGGGCTCAGGCACCTCAGGAGCAGTGTGCTCCTCCTCAACGAAGCGCTCCTCAGACAGTTTACGTTTTCGTGTACTTCTGTGAGTGACGACAGCAGTGTACAGGTGCTGCAGGTCGGGGTTGAAGCCCAGAGTGTCCTCCTGTTCATAACACAGCTGAGGAAGAGCCTGAAGGGAAGAGAGAGACACAGAGGTGTGGAAGGTAAATGAGGGAGCACCGGGTCCAAACTGAAAGCTGAGCAACTGACAGGTGCAACACATCTGTGTGAACATCTGCAGGAGGGCCGTCTGTCTCGGCTGTGTTTGGTTTCAACTGTAGAGAGAACAACACAGGTGTGTTCAGCTGCTGGATCAGACTGGAAACATGGAGGTGGTCTCTTCATCTAAATCTTTCGACTAGTAGTGCAGAAAATGATGGACTCCAAAGTTTTGTTGTCAGTTTTGTCTAAGACACATAACCAGTAGAATGACACGCTAGCTGACTGGAAAGAACATCCGCTCAGCTTTGCAGCTGCAATGTTAATAAACTCATGAAAATTAAAAATATATCATTTGGTGCACGAGCCTGAAACATGATTTCAGGTTTCAGCCGCAGCTTGGTGCTTGGGATCTGTTTGTGTCAAGGCCCTGCTGTGCGAGTCATGTCTGTGATACAGGGAGTGCCGCGGCAGCGATAACCCTCTAATCAAAGCCGCATTATTGGCATAGCTGAGCACAGGTAGAGCAGGAACAACCAAAGCACACACTGGCTCCGATGGCCACGGGCCTGACAGATAAGGCTGCATGTTAACTCATGCGACATTATGCGAGCGCACGGCCGACGCTTAGAAAAACACGTACTCACTAAACCTCGCTTTTTTCTCCAATGAAGACAAACTCTCCAAATTAGCTGCTCAAATATTGACCAGGTAAATCGGTGGTCTCACACTGGCTGTCGGGGCAGAGGGGCTCTGAACACACTGTGGTCAGGTTTTGAGGTTTCACATTGATTTATTTTTGTTATTTGTTTGTTTAAATATCGTAAAAATAAATGTATGCTCTGGGGAGGCTTTGCTCTGCTTTTGGCACAGAGAAACCAATGTGCAGCAGAAAGCAGACCTTATTCTCTCTTTTTATTCACATTTTCCCCCTCCCCCTGCACCCCCCCCCCCGGCTGCTCTGAGGTGCTAAACCTTATGTGATAGTCTGAAGCCCCTCTACTATGGTTTTACTTTTTTACCAAGATCATGAACATAAATGATCAAGTGTCCAAGTGTCCTAAAGATTTTCATAAAATCAAACCCTGTTTCTGATTGTACTTATGATTTACATTCAGTTTTTTGCTGTTAGGGTGAATGTATTCAGCATTTTGCCATAATGAACATGTGCTAAAAAAAGAACTAAGTAACCCCTGAAAACAGAAAGCCTTTCTTCCATGACAAAAATAAGATGAGATGTGACTAAAATCAATATTTGAAAGCAACATAACTACATCATGAGGCATTGCCAGGAAATGATTCATGTACGTAGTCCAGTGTTCCTGTAGCTGGTTGTGGTTTTATCAGTGTTCACCCTGCTCCACCCCATTTAACTAGGACCCCAACAATGAACATGCGTTTGAATTTCACCAAAAACTGAAACATCATGACCTTTATAAAGACAGAGGGCTGGTACCTAATAAACTGCTCACTGAGTGGCAACCTAAGTTTTAATGTCATGGCAAAATCACAAGATTAAAATAAAATAAAATAAAAAAAAACAGACCTACTAGATCAAATTAAGTGACAGAGATAAAGGATGGATAAAAAAAAATCAATATGTACAGTAAATCAAAATGATCAATATTACAGTATATCACTGCTAGTTTGACTTAACAGGTTAAAAATTAGGAGACAATTCTTATAAGTCTGAGTTAGTATATTTACTAAGTCAGCGTTTGTTGGACATTTAATGTCTGTATTTGACAGCAGCAGTGAAAACAAAACAACACAAATGCAAGTCAACATTTTCATGAGCGTCTTTTTTGCCTCTCACTCTACAGAACGTATGGTTTTCTTATCTAGGAACAAATAGGCTTCTGTTGCCCTGTATTTTGGGACAGGTACAAAGAGGCTACAGGGTGGAAACACAGTAAGCAGGTGACTGGGATCTTCTGCTGCTGAGCAGACAGGAAATGCCAGGTGAGGAATAAAAAGACAATTACAGCAGGTCAACAACCTGGAAAGCTCCTCCCTGCTTGTAACAGAGCAAAGTCCTCTGACCATGGAGAAAACAGTGCAGGGAGGAGGAGGCTTTCACCTGGCAGCCACAGTAAAGCATCCTGTGTGGGGAAGGTGACGAGGGGCTGGGGTTGTGTTGGTGTTTCTCTATTATTAGCAGGTAAACAGCTCTACTGCTGCTGTTTTGTAAAGAGGGGTGGGAGGTCTGGTGCCAGAGAGTCTCACAGTAGCTCAACTCTCCTCCTCGTCTCTCGCTGACCTCATGTTTACATCTTCTCATTCATCTCGGCCTCCGTTTCTCTCGCTGTGACCTCAGCTTCCTGAAACCGGTGTGCCACTAGAGGACCAGAAGGCCACGGCCTTGGAAAATAACTGGAGGATTAAAATGCTCAAGCACGGGTGAAGAGGTGCAGGAGCACAGGCCGATCTGACGCGATGAGGTCAGAATGATTGAGTTTTAAGAGGGCGCAGAAACCAGTGCACTCCAGACCTCAAACCTCCAGATCCCGTCTCACTTGTCCATCTAGTGAGGCACCGACTGAGCTGTTGGTTGATCTGTAAAGACTCTTTATTCCTAATTGTATGCACGGATTGACTACTGAACAGGCCCAAGGGTCCCTAGACCACAGAACTGTGAAACAAGTGTCAACTTTGTCACTAGAAAGTCAATCAAATGACTACAAAAAGTTATAAAAAGCCACAAAACAGGAAAAAACTGATGCACAACAAGTACAAAGAGACAGAGAAGACCCCAAAGGCAGCAAAAAGTCTATAAAAATGTGCCAAACAACAAAAACAAAGACACAATACAACTAGAAAGAGATGCCTAACTAGCAAAATAACAGGCAACAGCTGCAAAATGACTATAAGGAGATGGAAAATTAGTACAAATTAACACACAATGGCTAAAAGCAGACAACACAACCCAAAAAAAGACAAACTGACTATAAATCCTGTGGTTGCTCAGGCCATGAGTCTTGCTACTAAAGCGTAGGGGCCTTTTACACATCTCTGCCCAGGGGCCCAATGTTTCATACTCCGTCCATGATGTACTGTAGGTAGAAACTTGTCAATTAAAATGAGAAGACACAAAACACACCATGGATCTTGTATTCGCTCCCATGTGCAAGTTTTTAGTAAAAAATATTAAGCAGAGAAGGAACATTTGGGTTTGTTTTTACACTCCAATATTGGCCCTAAAAGTCTCACCCTGTGTCACTCATACATTTAAACAGGCCTTAGAAATCTCCTCTCTCGGGTTTGAACTGCAGAAATTCATCTTCTGTCAGCCAAAGATTTGTTTATTTTAAAGCTGGTTCAGTTTCGGCTCAGTGCACCGCACATTTACACACTACGGCTACAACCTGAAGTGTTAAGGGTCACAAATCTCCGTCTTACAGCAGGCGGTTCTGGCAAAACGTGCCCGGCCTGTTCATGTGCCAACAACATGTACTCTCATGTTGCTCACAGTCTCCTGCCGTCTTTGTGGGACGCCGCGCTCTGCCCGGTCCAGGCTGGAGCCAGGCCCGGCGGGCAGCAGCCAGGCCACAGAGGGCCTAATTACAGAGCTGGAGTGGGGACAACCCTGTGGAAACTGTGTGCAACTGTCAGAGGGCACAGGAGGAGGAACATCGACTGTATGGAGACGTTTAGGGCTGTGCCATCTTTTACCTCTGACAGAGGACAAAATGCCGCTACCACTAATGATTAGTATAAGTATCAGATTAACCGTACAGCCTCTAAAATGTCCCCAGAGCTATGGGCGTTTGTGTGACCAGCAGCACACAGTGTTACAAACTGTCCTCGCATTTGAGCAGAGAAAGTCTGTTATCCAAACTCTAGCCAATTCATTTTCTAGTGATTAACTGATCAAGCAGAAATGCACACACACCACAGTGTAAATGAGTGTATGTCAAATGCTCTTTTGTCTTTATTACGAGAGAATTTCTACTCCAGGTGACAAACTCTCCATCAGGCCCAGATGATGCTTTCGTGAGGACTCATAAAATGTTACGATTCTTCTGGGCCAGGCCCAGCTCCATAGTAAATGCATCTGAGCTCTGAACTTCTTAAAAGAACAAAGACTGATCCACCAATAGATGTGTTTAGCCTCTGACACCAGGGCGGAGCATAAATGTTAGAAGTAAGTGAAAACACCAGAAACCTGTGGAGCTCTGGAGACAGATGACCCCACAAATCCCCTGAGAAAGGTCACATGTTCTTGTCCCAAAACAAACATGGCTGCCAACCGAAAAGGGCAAAAAATAAATCAGGAAAACAGCTCCAAGTCTGATGGAGCTCCTGGATGAACAGGTGTGTGCAGGGACTTGTGGGGCAGTGAACTTTGTCAAACAAAGTTATCTTACCTGCTTTTCAGTGTTATCACACCATTCAACGTTATCAGCTGTTGCTGAGATCAGAGATGTGGGTCAGTAGGGCTTTACACCCCATCCTATTTGGCTGCTATAATGGTTGCAATAATAAACACGAAGTGTTCCAGGTTTAGGCACAGAACACACCTGGTCAGGTTCAAGGAAACATGGTGGGTCAAGTTAACATGATGACTTAGTAAAGTAACAACGCTGGCTGTTGGTTGGAAACAGGAAGCAGCTGCTTCCTGTTTAACACTCCTATGTTTTGTAAACAAAAACAAAACAAAACAAACAAACAAAAAAAAAAACAGGATTTGTTTTGTTTATTATCCACAAAATGCAAATGAATGATTGAATATTATGGTCATGAGTTCAGCATCACTTTCATGCTGATGTGTGCACCCCTGGCTCAGATCAACCCCCTCCCCAGCCTCGTCTACTTACCACCCAGGTTCTGAATTTCTCAGGTATGCGAGACTGCTCGATGCCGTTTATGATATACTCAGAAAAAGAGGGAGAAAAAAAAAGAAGAGGAGAAAGGGAAGAGAGCTGCCACCGTTTCTCTCTGGTCTTCTTGTTCATTCTCCTCCTTCAACACTGAATACAGCCTCATGTACACCTAGCCAAGTTCCAGATAAAAGGACAAACCACCCAGTGCTGTGTCAGGGTCGTGTCTCCTCTGTCAGAGGTAGGAAACATCCTCCTTCCAAACCAGATCCCCTCAATGTGTCCAACCCACTGTGCCGTCCTCATGAAGCCATTCAGTGACCTAAAGCTGCAGCCATGAGTCAGTTCACTGGTAGAAAATCAACCGGCTGCTATTTAGAAGCAACAGTCACCAACATGTTCTGGTTCCACCTTCTATAATGTGAGGAGCTGATGCTTTTCTTTGTCAGACATGAGAATCAGCTAAGTCTCTGTTGGCTGGACACAATGGGACTTTTCCCCCAGTGTCTGACATTTTGGGAACAAACAGATAAATCAGATCATCAGGACAATGATCATCTGACTGATCATGACACTGCTGTTTGGGTTTCCACTCAGTCAGGAGCTTCCTCTCAGTTGTACTGTACGACACTACTTGAGCCACTGAGGGCCTACCCATGTGTATCAATAAGACTAAACACCAGAACTCTCTCTCAGTGTAGCATAGTCCAGTTGAACAGAAACACAAACTCCAGGCTCACACACTGTTGAACCAACACCTCTGTGAAGCAAACAGTCTGAACACAAACTGAACACCATCACTGTCACGAAGCAGGACTGAGTCTGAAACAGGTGTCCCTAATAAAATGACAACTGTCCACATAAAACAAACACATTGGAGCAGACACTGTGAAGCTATCAAGGAGCGTGGGTCGTGTTCTTCCAGCAGTCAAAGTGTGTATTTTGGACGCCATGAGCCACTGTGGTCGCTGCATGAACAACAGAAGCTTCCTGCCCTGCTCTTAACTTAGAGCCTCTGGCTGAAGCAGATAGATATTAGGATTTGACTCCTCATGGCGTGCCAGCGCAGGCCTTCATGTGGAGCACGACGTAGCATTTAAGCACAATTTCTTTACCCGCTTGAGTATATAAACATTACAGATGGAAAACCTACATCTCTGCACTCTGATTCCCATTCAGTTTCACTCAACACCAAACATGAGGAGAAAAACCTTCAATTTAAGCAAGAAAAGCGGGAAGTTGGAGTGTGGGACGCCAGACTTAGAATCAGTCGTGATTCTGTGCAGCTCAGGTCTCATATTGTTACACTGCAGTCTCATGCAACAGGAAGCAGGCGATGTTCCCAAACGGTGAGTTCAATTTGGAGCTGACAAGTGTTGACACTGCTGCATGACTCGCTAAAAAGCATGCATCACCAGACCGCGCACACACACATGCACGTAAACATGGAGATAGAGAAAACAGCAGCTCTGAAAACCAAAAGCATGTGTGGAAAGCGCTCCCCTCCACCACACACACACAGAGCCCAAATTTAGACTCTAAAGGAAGCTGATGTGATGCTTGAAGGATTTGAGCCTTTTTTCATCCATGACCAGCTTTAGCCCAAGTTAAACCCAAGTGTGTGCGCATCAGTGGGAAGCGCAGGCTAATTCCATCCATGTAAATGTTGACCGGAGCTGGGTGGGGTGTTTGTGTGGTGACTCGGAGAGGAGGGGCTTCCACAGAAAGCTGCAATTGAAAATAAAAGCTCCTGCTCCTGTCATCATCATCTCTTTCACTGTCCCTGTGCCCTTCACTCTCCTTGGTGTGGGGAACGAAGGCCACAAATGGTGCAAGTGAAGGTATACGTTTGCCGCTGGCACTCGACTCCTAAATAACTGTCCAAACGTCAGAGACATTCAAGTTCAAGGGAGAAACAGTGAAGCTGGCTGGTTTTCACAAGAAGAGAGACGGACAGACTGTGTGCCACCTGTGGCTCTGACCTGTCCGTCCCAGCACTTAGACCTGATTTTAAAGGAGCAGTTGGACATTTTGGGAATTAGTCTCATTTGCTTTCTGGCATAGGGTTAGAAGAAAAAGATCCATACTAGCTACAGCTACCAGCTACCAGCTAAGCTAACATAATGCAGTATAAAGACTGAAAACCAGGCTCAGTAAGAGTGACAAATGTGAGGTTGATGAGATGTCAGAGGATAATAACAAGGTGATGTCTTCAAATATAGTTTTGTAAAAAAACAGTTTATAATGATAGAAAACTGAAAAGCTGTTTTACTCAACATCTATGTGCTAGAATTTCGTTGACCTTTTAACCCCGTCTCTTCTTCATGTTTGGGTTACATGATGATAAACTGAGCAAGACGACCATGGAATGTGGAAAAAGCCAGTAAGTGGACCTTGAGTTAAGAATATTATGAACTGTTGAGTACCTGTGCTCAAAGACTCAAGCAGTTAAGCGATGGTAAAAGTGATTTTTCAGCTGACCCACTTGTGCTCCATCAAACCAGTCAACTGGAATAAATATTAGCCAGGCGATCAGATAGAGGAGTTTCTGACACAAGAATGATAATGTGTGGGGTGGGTGCTGCTGTGGACTCAGACAGACAGACACACACACACACGCGCATGCCAGACAAATACTACACACACACTCGCCAAACACCTCCACTCTCTCTCTGATGCAGTGGCCCAGCTCCCTTTGACGCACCTCGCCGACATTTCTCCTAGACACGTTTGGACTTTGGTCTGAAGGCGGCCCCGACACAGCCTGGTGGAATTTGCCAAGGCAGAAGACTTTGATCCACTGAAGCTTTTCTCTTCTTCTTCTATGGTTTCTGACTGCTCACTCGCCTTCCTCTACACTCTCCAACAATGTGATCACCAAAAAGCCAAGCTGAGATCCGCCACTGTGACCCCAAGTTAACTTTCCACCACTTTGCCTACCTGAGCTGGAGCCATCCACCACCTAGAAATGTGATTCTTTCCTGGTTTATCCTCAGTAGGGGGAACAAACTGAACAGTGTGTTCCTGCATGGTCACCGTGGAGGGAAACTTCCCTCTCTGATGTTCACCTTTAAAAGTCCACATGAAATCAGATTTCATATTTTTAGAACAATGAGTCTCTCTCACAGAACAAAGGGCATCACAGCACAACTTGCGTTAGATTTCTATTTATAGACACCTCACTGCAGGTACACAGCAGGTCAGCTGTCAAGACAAAATGAACTAGAGTCCCCCCCCACACACACAGACACACACACACACACACACACACACACACCAGCCAGTCAAGGTGCACATTACATGCACGTCTGTCCAGACTCATAATACATTGTAGTGAAGGATCTGTAAGAAAAATAATTGATATTAAGTGCATTTAATTGGAAGAAATTCCCTCCTGAGATATCACGTTCACAAGAATGGGACAGATGTGAGGCCACTGTGACCTTGACCTTTGACCAAGTTTAATCAGTGTTTAAATAATCCTTGTTTATGCCAAATCTGAAGAAACTGCCTCAAGGTGTTCCTGACATACTGTGTTCACTAAGGGGATGACCTCCAACCTGATGCTAGGGGAAAGCACAGCCTGAATATAAAAACAGACCATGTGTCACCACTTCCTACCACTATGCAAAAGAGAAGCCAAAATATCGTGAATGCAGGCCATCTTACTTTTGTGACACATTTTGCAACCAGATTCTGCTCAGTAGTGACCAGAGGTGGAGCCACCAATCATATGGAACACACCCCTTTCTGTATCATCTAGTAACTTATCCAAAACAAATGTATCCATGTGATAATATCGACCTCAAATTCAAGTTTCAGGAGTCACCTTCTCCAATTAAATCTCCATTCAGATCACATCAACAACTTAAGCTGAGAATCAGGACCTTCAGTATTTGGATCAGTGTCACATTAAGCGGCTACAGCTGTTATTTCATGCATCAGATACAATCAACATTTAAGTCAATGAAAGGAACAGAGAGACTCAGTACTGCAGATAGCTAATGATAAAGGACTCGGAACATGAGCAGGACATTCTTAGTTTATGTAAACCCCAATCACGTCTGAGTTCCCAAATTCTGATATTAGTATCGGCCTCACAGAGCCAGTGCTGGTTGAGATATTTTCATTAGATACAGACTGAAGATGAAAGCAAACAAGAGGCACGTAGACAAGCGAAAACATCAGAGACCTCAGTCAAACTCTTGCACGACTTAAGTGAAACTGACATATCAATAAAAATGAAGCAGACACCTTGGAAATTCCACAGGTACATATGAAATGCTCAGTCAGTTGATCAGGCTCACACAAACAAATAGAGTAGGAGTCAGAGGTCGACACAGGCAGAGATGACAAATTCCACACACTCACTGAAAGTGACCAAGCTCAGCCCATCGTCTGGTAACATTCAGCCAGTCTAAGGTGTGGTGTCTCACTCGGAGGGCCGTCTGGTGTCTGAGCAGGAACAGAGCACAGAGGATGCAGGTGTTTGTGAGTGTGTTGCTGACCTCTCACCTTCGCCAGGAAGTCCTCTCTGTAGGTGTGCTCCTCAAACACGTCCGTCTGCAGCCGCTCTGGTTTCAAACACACACATTTGAATTATGAATCTTTCATAAAACACCCTTCACTGCTACACCTTCACGCCAACCAGGGTGAATCTGAGGGGGCACAAGATGGTCAGAGTCAAACGCTCAGCTTCGTACGCCTTTTATCAATCCTTCACATCAAATTCTCTGACCAGGAACAAGAACTGATTTTTGCATTAAGACATAACCTGTGATGTCAGTGACTTTTATTTAAACCCTCACCTCCTTAAACCCTTGGTATGATGATATGATTTGCTGTAAACAGCCTCAACTTGGTCTTTGTGGTTTGGAATAGCATGAGTGCCAACAGTGTGCTACAAGTCCTGGATATTTAAGGCTCAGAGTTTCTTATCTTCCTGGAGATCACATGATCTGCTCTGGGCTCAGTGCATGTTCTCCACAGGAGTGTACCTCTGCTGAGCGTGGCACCGTTCTCTCTGTAGTCCTGGATCTCTGCATCCTTCCTCCCCAGCATAGCTCCCAGCTGCTCCACCTGACGCTGCAGCAGGCGGCTCATCACCAGCAGGGGGCGCGCCAGCTGCTCACACACCTACAGACACACAGGAGACAGGACAGAGCTGTTACCTGGTCACAGTTATGTCTCATCCATTCACTCACTGCATTCTTATAGGCTCCATCCTTGTGTTATTTTACTGCTGCTTTCACCATTTTGATAACGTGTGCACACCCAGCTGTTTCCTATACAATATAATTTCAATACACGTTGAACAGGGACAGCAGAGAATTATTACGCAACCTGAATTTTCACATCTAGATTTTTCTTCAAACAACGTCAAACTGCAAGTCATACCAAAACCAAAGCATCACAGACTCAAAGCCCACAACGTCACCGTCCTCCAAAACAGCTAGAAACGTGGACTGTACCAGTGTGACGGGGGCAGGGGTGCAATGAAACTCCCAGTAGACGGGTAGCCCAGCCAGCTTGCTCTTCAGCCTCATGCTGATGTCACCGCCGTCCTGTCGGGTCAGGGAGATCTGAGCCTCGCTGTCAGCTCGCTCACCTGACAGACTCGGCCGGACCACCTCACACAGGTGGGAGAAGAAAGCTTTAACAGAGGCTCGCAAACGCCTGTTCAGCTCCTGGGGAAGGAATACAGGAATTTAACACATAAAACAAAGGTGGTCAATTAACATTAAATATCTTTAGATATACACACCTGTGCTCGGCTCTGGATGGCGGCTGAGTCCATCCTCTCCTCCCACACACTGCTCATGTCAGTCAGCAGGATGTGGTATGCTGCGTCTCCAAACCAGCTCTTGGCGAGGAGCTGGAAGCCGTTGATGTTTACAGGAAGCCAGGGACACTGGAGGAGGATGTCGGCGGGGGCTCCACTGGCCTCCATCATGGCAAAATGTATGAAACACACACTAAATGCAACAAACAGAGATTCACAGACGAAGTTAGGACACTTGGATGGACATGAAACTCTGCTGGTTCTATCAGAACAAAACATGAACAACTGTGTCAGAAAAAAGCCAAGACCACAAGTCAACTACAACTCCCAAAGTGCAACATCAAATCACAGAGCTTAAATTAGACTTTGTTGAAAGATGATAAAACATTCAGCTCTGATTGAAACCTCTGATTAGCTGCTTCCTCGTGCACATCATTTGAGACTCATGGGTACTGTAGAAGAGGTGGAAACTAAGTACATTTACTCAACCACTGCTTCTGAAATGTGTGACTTTAGTATGTTTTACTGCCACATATTAAAAACTGAATATCTCTGGGTTTTGGACTGTTGGTCAGACAAAACTGGACATTTAAAGCTCAGGAAAAAGAATTGTTGTATGGTTTCAGTATTGTATGCATTTTATTGTCTGTAACTTGTTAATATTGGGCAGCCTTACAAATGAGGTTATACTTATTTATGGGATGTATTTATGTGGTAAAATATAGTTGGAGCTCTGCCTTAGTAAAGAACACGTTATAGGCTGTATTTACACTCATGACAGTTTCTTTCTGAAGGAAACTATGTTTTGTTTTTTTGTTTAATTACTCACCTATAAGCAATGTGCCCTAGAACCCTGGACTGGGACCTGTTGAAGCCGCGTTACAGACGCCGTCCCGGGGGCATAATCAGCACCTTGCAGCAGGGTGACCACAGTGGCAGCTCCAACGAGCTTCCGGCTCCTCTGTGCCCGTCTGTAATGGGGCTGTTTTCGTGGAAAGAAATCAGGTATTTCTCATCAGCGGCCACCTGAAACACAGTGCGCGTTTCGTGGCTTGACTGGCGCCAATTTGGATATCGCAAAAAATCTAAATCAGTAACTTTATGACTACAATATACAGTCATATAAACCTAGACACAGATGCCAGCGGTTAGAGGGTAGCAAGAGAGAATGTACCTAGCCGGATGTGAAGCGCTGCGTTCTGGCCTTTAAACACAGAATGGCACACCAAACTGCATTCACAAATCTCTCAATTTAAAGTTCTCTTGCTACTCAGCAGACAGCCTAACAAGATAACGTGTTATTTTAGACGTTGTTTACATTGTTAGAAGCTACTCTATTGTTCGGCAACCATCCACACAGTACAATAAGGAATACACTGCAAAAATGCCCACGGAGAGCTCTGCAAACACGCTAGGGTCAACCTAACTACACTGTGGTGGGCAGAGACAAACAACAACAACAACAACAACAACAAACTAAGCACTACAACAAGTGTTGCTTTTTAATGTCTCCTGTGTTCGAAATGGACAAGTTTTAAGCCATGTTTTGTTAGCTAATTCTGGCAAAGACAAATTTAAACCAAATCAATTCAACATATCACTGAATTTAAAGGTCCAATAGTTATAAGCTAATATAGTTATGAGATAGCCTGTGGTTTTAAAACCTAACTGCATTTGTAGAAACTATTCTTCAATTTAGCCAAAATTTCGCTGACACAGTAACCTTAAACGGAGTTTAAAACATGGTTTTAATTTTGAACAGAGAGTACTGTTAGCAACTTCAATACAAAAGAATCTGACGAGCTAAGTTAGCTAGCTGTTGGTTTCTCTGACGTTCTGGACTTCGTCTAACAAAATTAAACAGGTCAGTCATTATTACACCGCACCATTTTGTAACAAATCTAGAGCCTTAATAAAACATATAACCAAGTAAAGAAGAGCTTTAAAAGAACCAACGTTTGCAAGAAAAAAAAAAAAAAACCTACTGTCTCTCCGCCGAATCTTGTTGACACTCGTTTCCAACACCGACATCAAACAACAGCGCATTTCAGTGGTTCCGCTTGTGATAACTTACCGCTTTAAAAATCCACACAAACCGGATTCCTTCCATATACATTTTAAGTTATATGAAATGCTCTGCTATGACAAATGTCAGAAATTTTTCTGTCCTTCATTGTGAATTCCGAGATTCGTTCATATTTAAATATATGCAAATGAGCACAGAAATTGCGCACTGCCACCACAGCTGCTTCCCCCAGGTAGTTGGTGAAATCATTGTACTGTATATCAGGATATTGGAGAGGTTCAGCCAAGATGTCTGGCACTTTTGCTGTCAACAGATCTAATTCTGGCTTCCTCTCAGTTGATTAAAAAGCTTATGCGCGCTGCTCTGAGATCAGAGGTTTCCTGTAATCTGCAGATATTTGCGGGTGAACTGGATTCAGATTCGTGACATTATTTCTTTTGATGCCCCCCCCAAAACAGCCTGTTACTGATAAACTGGCACCTACATAAAGCTGTAAAATGAAGATTTTAAAGCACAGAAAGTCACAGAGGCGACACAGACATTGCAGCACTTAAACATGAAAAATTGTCACAGATACAGAATAGTTAAGTTTTCACAGAGTAGCAGTTCTTTTTTTTTATTTCATTTTCTGACTTGCAAGAGGTATACAACAATATAGACATGATCTGAATGGCACAAAGAGAAGCCAGGTGTTTTCTGCAGGTGTCAGTCACAAGGAGAACAATCCAACATCACCTCACTTTAACTTGCAAAACATCACAAATTTGACTGGATGTTTTTGAGGTTTTAACACTTTTTCAACTTGAAATGAGAAAAATCCAGACAATTTAATCTTTATGGAGCTTTTTGATGCTTTCCAATCTTTTTCTATAGCTTTACTTCTCGATTGAGATCAGAACCAACAGTTTCAGCCATCTTCAGCCACACATAAGAGGAAAACATAAAGATGTGCAGTCTGATGCATTCGTGAGAACATCTGAGATTTTAGGCATGATGGCAGCTTTTCTAAACCCTCTGGAGTCTGTCTGTTTGTTTTATTTACAGTATAGTAAATAACACAACGTTGTGTCTACATCACGTAGACACAAGCAGGTGGACATGCCAATGTGACACTTTCACACATTTTTGTCTGTAAACTTTTCAGTGATTTATGATGGCACACAGAGACTGTGAATGAAAAAGGCACAAAAAGTTGGGAGTCACTTTTCCACCACATTTGCGTGTATATAGCATTGAAAACATTGGTTTCTACAATCATGAACTGATCTATAATATTACATTGAGTATATATATCACTAAAGGTTTGTACATGGTTTGCTGTAATTTGGGTTCCTGGCAGCTTTATTCTGTTAGTTTGGCAAGATGTTAAGTCAGACTGAACAATGGTACCAAGCATGTGCAGTAAGGTCAGTTTAATCTAAGCTACTAAACTAAAACAAACTGGACCTAGACTCCAGAGGGATCGCACAATAGCCCAATGGACATGCATTTTTAATGCATTTTACTCAAATATTTTTTGTCATGTTTCTGGTTTCATTTTCATTCAGATCCACTGTGAAGGCGGCACGTCATCTCACTTTTGACCCTTGGAGTGTCTCTGAACACATCACGCTTATGCCACTGCGTTAATCCCTCTAGTTAGTTAGTTTTTACTTTTATGTGAAATCACTGTCAGGTTTCAAGGCAACAGGCAAGAAGAGGAGCACAGTGTCATTCTTCATCACGGCAATCATCATCATAGAGAGAAGGTCAGGTGTGAGGTGTGGGGGGATGGGGGGACGCAGGCTGGTCTGGATCTAACTGGTTTCACTGGGGCAGAGCTTTGAGGATGGCGTTAACTTCCTCAGCAACGGCAGTCAGTGCAAACTCAAACTGGTCCTGGAAATGAGCAGGACAGAGAGAATGATATTTAATTGTTAATGTACATTTATAAATGCACATTATGTCTCAGCCAGTAGACGTCATTAACTATTTATTATGGGTCAGTTTAGTATAGTGATGTTTTGCTTCATATGTGTTTGAGTTTATAATAACAATAGATATAAGAATAACTATTTCTGTATCACCTTTCAAAATAAAGTTGCAGTAAAAAGAATTACAGTAATTAAAATTTCAAAACAAAATATAAAACAACTACTGAAACATATTAAAAGTGTTTTCTTTGTTGATTTTCAAACTATAAAACATATTATTCGGTACATGTTTCAGATTTTTATTAATAAAGTATAAGGGGGGGGAAGCATATTTAAGCAAATAAACACTGTCTTAAACCTTTTTAAAATCTCATATTACTACTGGCTTCAAACTATTTTTCTAAGGTGGAAAAGCTGTGGAGCATCAGCAACTCTGGGATTTAATGCCCTGTGGTCTAACATCTCCTTAAACGTGGTTAAAAATCCTGTTTACTGTCTATTTAATCACATGAAACTGAGACAAGCGAGTCTGAGTGGAGCCCTCACCTTGGTGCCAACCATCCCAGGCCTCTGGTCGCGGACATGCTCCAGAGTTGCAGCAATGTCGATCTCTTTCACACCTGCACAGGGTTTTCACACACACACACACACACACACACACACACACACACACACACACACACAACTGTGTTTGTACATCTTTCATTATTTTATGCATGTATCTACATTTTTCCACATAAAGGTATAACAACATTTATTGGCTTGTTAGGAAACAACGCACACATGCAGAACTCACCTTTAGCCATACGATTGAGGACCATGTCGATCAGGATGTAGGTCCCAGTCCGGCCTGTGCCGTCACTGCGAAAACAACAACGTCCAGTGTTACTTGACAGTTTGAACTTCGAGAATATAAAGATGCAGAAGTCCGTGGTTTACCTGCAGTGCACAATGATGGGGCAGGAACGGCCACGGTAACACTTGTTCACCTTCCTGAGGAGACACACAGGAGGGATTAGAGATCACCCAAAAACACATACAGTTGTTCTGAAGGTACCTCTACAGTCCCCAAAACCCTGTTCAACCATCTGATCAAATATTCATAACCAACCCCAGAGTGATCATTCAGAAACATAACCTAGTTTAACCAGGTTATGTTTCTGAATCAAAACAGGAGGCGATAGATAGGTAGGTAGGTAGGTAGGTAGGTGGGTGGGTGGAAAGGTGAGTGGAAAGGTAGGTGGAAGGGTGGGTAGGTAGGTGGATTTGGCGATGGACCTCCTGCTGCAGCCACATCAGTCCATGATCATTTTTGTGACTATGCAACTGGAGCCAGACTACTAGCTGCAAACCACAAGAATGACACAGACAGACATGTTCAACATGAAACCAAAGGCCCCGCTGACCTCCATCGCACAGGGGGAGGACAGGAAGAGAGGAGGAGGAAGGAAGGATGGAGGAGAGAAAGACTGTGGCTCCTTCCTGCCAAGTTATCATGGTCTTAATTTAAGTACGTTTTGAAAGATACTGTGATGCATTAACACATCAGCAAAATCTGACTTTGTGAGGGCAAAAACAACAAAGAGTTGAGCTTTACAGTCCAACTGAATGAAATGAAGGGTTCGTGCTCTCAACACTTTTCCTGTGTGTGCACTGTTCATACGTGAATGCTCAGGTAGCAACAGTACCTGCGGAAGTCCAGCAGAGGGCGGGTGGAGGTGGGGATGCCCTGAGCAGGCCAGCTGAGGAAGTGAAACTGTGTGAGCGTCCTGGTCTCCTGCGTCTGCACATTCTTCAGGTAGAAACTTCTCACCAGGAAGTCGTTACACCAGATGTGCTCTGACACCAGGTTCACCTGGGCGACACACACAGACATCCAGCTGTTAGAGCTAGTTCATGTCAAAGAGTATACAGTGTATTTATTACTCTTCTGGGCTATTAAAGAATGGACATTTTTCTTATGAATGGACAACAGATTTCTTATGTGTAGTTCTTTTTCAATCTATTACAGCTAATAAGATGATGATGATGGAGGAAGGAGGTGGGTCAGTCGATCATCAAAGCTTCTACAAGCCTGAAAATCTGATTAATGCAGCAGCAACTTCCAACATCACCACAGGACACTTCTGAGAGAGACTGAATTAAGTGACTGGGACCATGATGACTCCTGCAAAACAGTGACCGACTTAGTGTTTCTAGAGAGAAGCTGATGCTCTGTGACTGTCAGTTTTTGGAAGCAGCGGCCGTCAGTGGCACTGACCTGCAGTGAGTTCAGCCTCCTGATCTCACCTCATAGATGTGGTAGAGAGATGAGCCTTCATCAGGCCAGTAGCGGTCACACTGTTTCTCTCCATCCTCCACCAGAGCCGTCATCAGCACGATCACAGTGCAGCCGTTCTCCCACACCATCTGACAACACCAGCAGCAACAAACACAAGTCCCTGACATCAGCCGGAAGTAGACAAGATCGCTGCTCCATGTTCAGACAACCACTACACTTTTGTCACCCTGAGTGTCGTCTAATGTGCTCCCGGGCAGACAGGTGTTACCCGGGATGCTCTTGTCCTTGCTGCCTGCAGGCAAACACACTCAAGGAAATGTTACTCACCTGCCAGAAGTCAGAGATGGTGTGCGACAGGGGGCCCTGGGTGGCGATGTAGGCTGGCATACGGGGGTCGTGCTCAATCTAAAGGCAGAAGGTGGAGTGAAAAGTCAGATGTCAGGTCACTGCAGCCTTTCAGAAGATGATTTAGCACAAATGACTGATCTGAGTTCGAGAGGCAGGGACTCACTATGGTGCTGGCATTGATGTAGTCAGACCGTGAAGGGTTGATCTCCGCTCTCAGCTTCACCCTTGAGTGATCATCTGCAGGACACAGTAACATCCACTTTCATTTCCCCTTAGTAACTTTGAAATCATCTTATTCCTATTTAAACACCAGTGTGACTGTGTTGCCAACTGTAAATGCTTGCACTAAGGCTCACAGGGAACTGAGTCAGGGCAGCGGTTCTTCTTGGCGTTGGCGTCACTCTGCGCCACAGACACGGCGCTGGGCTCAGCCTGATAGGAGCACAGAGCCTCCCACTCTTTCATCAGACGGTCCTTGTTCCTCAGGTGGTCCTCCATGTAGGCCTGTATAAAGAAATGGTGCAGTTACTGTTCCTGCAACAAAACCCAGGAAAAACAAAAGCAACACTCCTGCTAACAAGCGGGGGGGTTGAAAATAGGTTAAAGACCTCTAAATACAACAATTAGCTGTTTCAGAAAGCTTAGAGATACTGTCAAAATATTAATTATTATGAAACCTAGGCCTTCAGAAACATTTCACAACTAAGCACACCAGAGGGCCTCAGCTTTTTAAAGTAAAAAATATAAAAGCATGAACGGGTTGACCAGGCACAATCCTGGGAGCCTGGGGGGTCAGGAGGCCCACAATTCAGCTGCAAAGCATCCCTGAAAGAGACAAAACAACCACACAAAATGTTTACAGAGACAAAACATCTGCCAACAGACACCCAACAACTCCATGGACATGCATCCTCAGAGACCTGATACATGACCTTTGGGTGCTTCTGTGTAGGAGGCCGGGGGCCTTTTACATGTCTGTGCCCAGGGGCCCACTGTGTCATAATCCATGTATGAATGAAAGCCATTATTATATCACATTTTTCAGTACTTCCCTGCAGTACAAACAGTAACAAATTATCTATAAAATGTTCAAAAACAGCAGCAAAAACAGGCCAGTTGTGAAGCTTCGGTCCCATTATTACTTCTGGTGCCAACAGCGATGGCAGCCTTGGTTACTCACACTCTCTTGTGTTTGTTGTTTTTCCTTTGTTTTCTTGGTCTTTTGCAACTCATCCCAGATTACATTTACCAGAGAAGAACTGTTAAATATCAGACAACTCACACCAAACTACCTCCCTCCGATTTTTGTGAACGAAGAATGCTGTATGGACATTCAGACTGGAGGCACAGCGACAATATGTACGTAACCTGGAAAAAACACCGCCGTGGATAGCATGAAGGCGCCTTGGTGAGGCTACGACAGAGGGGAACACGACAGAGGGGAACACCTCACGGGTCAAAAGGGCCCTCCTTTTGGAGGGCAGGCTCACACTAATGACCTTTTCTGTAGTCCTCACTGTCCACTGAAGTCTGTACTTATCCTGTTTGGTTGCTGAGCCAAACCAGACAGCGATGGAGGTGCAGAGAATAGACTCAATGATCACAGCACTGGAGAGGATCACTGCAGACCCCTCATACCCTGGACACAATCTGTTTGAACTCCTCCCCTCTGGACGGCGTTACAGGTCACTGTGCACCAAGACAACCAGGCACAGGGACAGTTTCTTCCCCCAGGCCATCACTCTGATGAACACTTAACTAACAACAGTATGACTGGACAATAACCCTCAGTGCAATACCTGTAAATGTACATTGTACAGATTATTCAGATCCATACAGGTCTCTATTTTTAAGTGCTCTATAAGAAATCACAATGAGCATTCCTTGTCTGTCTGCGTTGTTTAATGCCTGTTTATACTGTTTATTTTGCATTGTTTGTTGATGTTAATCCTGCTTATTTTGTTATATCACACAGCCTTATGCTGGTTTACTGTTTACTTGCCCCTTGCATGGGGATATGTACATGCACATTGAGAGCTGATGTACCAGAGTCAAATTCCTCGAGTGTCTGACACACCTGGCCAATAAAGCTGATTCTGATTCTGATTATCAGCAACAAAATTGTATTGATATGGATAATCACCTTTATTGGCCAAGTATGTTACACACAAGGAATTTGTTTCCGATACAGAACCGATAGCAGCCATCTGCGGCACCACCTCAACCGATGGCTCTAGCCATCGGGGGCAATGGGGGGGGTTCAGTGTCTTGCCCAAGGACACTTCGACATGTGGACTGCAGGCACTAAGATTCAAACCTTCAACCTTCTGGTTGGGAGACGACTGCTCTACCCACCGCACCACTGTCGCTTCCCCCAAATTGTCCAAATAATTAGCGAGAAGAACCTCCTTTGACCTCTGGGCAGCACCAGATCACATCACAGACAGTACTGACCAGTATCATGTGACCGGTGGAGATGTCCATGTTGGCCTGGGCCGGCTCCTCGCACCATGATGGCGTGCTGCTGTGAGAGCTGGGACTGGGCTGGGCTCCATCACTGAACTGGGACGACACGCTGCTCACCCTAGAGTCGGCACCTCCACCTGCCGCTGCCCCAACACCAGCACCTCCTCCTCCTGCACCGCTGGCTCCTCCCACAGCGCCGAGTGCAGCAGCTTCCAGGCGTCCGAAGGCGCCTTTGGAGGCCATGTGCTGGCGACACAGGTCCTGGTGAGCCAGTTATGCATGCATGGTGTTGTTACACTGCTCTTCTTTACTCTGTGCATGCCCAGTCTACTAAATAACGTCAACAGGTGTGATATGCAGGATTATGACATACAGTGGGAAGAAGCAGGCATCTTGTTTGAGTAGCTAAACTTAGTGAACGACAGTTACACAGCCAACGAGCCAGACTTTTTTCATTAAGATGAGGAAACTTTTATCTGCTTTTTGTGAAAACCACAAGACATGGTTTATTAATCAAAGCAGAGTCAATATAAATGTCTTTATGCATGACTGCAGGGGGCCCTGAAGTCAAGTACTCCCTTCTCCTTAGCCCTCCTGAGGGAAATATCTGGCTCTGCAGCTGCTAAATGCTCCACTGTGGCGGGTGAACAATGGCTCTGTCAACTGCCTGTTGCTCCTGGAAACCTGTTGAAGCACCGACACACTGTGTGTAGCTGCAGAGTTTTATACTGTCGCCTTTTATCGGTTGTGTGCACCATGTAGTAGCTCAGTTTTCACTATGAAGACATTTCATGCATCCTAAGATACTGGAAGTTACATGAATCTAGTCAATATTTTAGAAACCACCTGAGCCACATGATGAATGACATACCGAACCGCCTGCTGATTATGACCCTAACCTTTCAGTTCTGTCATAAAGTTGTCTCTGTTTAAATGTGAGCGCATGTTCTAGTTTGCCCTCAGTGCTTCCTCTAACCTGGTACTCCTGGTGGGTGAAGCTGCCTCCCTCTGGTCCCAGACCCAGCTTCTTAGCCGCCAGCCGGTGGGCATGATGACGCAGGCAGGTGATGGTCATGGCAGCGACCAGGATGCCGCCAATGCAGGCCATGGACACCAGTGTGGCAAACACCCAGCGGGGGCCAGGCTGGACCCTGGTGGCCAGGGGCAGGGCCTTCCCATCATTCCTCTGTGGCAGGAAATAGTTAACTCCTATTAGTGTCACTTACTACACCGTTCATTGTCTCTTCCTCTTCCTCCCTCCATTCTCTTTCCTCCTTTCTCTCTTTCAGCCCCAGAGGTATCTGACAGACTTTAAAGTTTGAGCTGGTGAACAGAACAAGGAAAGATGGTGGTCGACCAGGCCACATGTGATTCACCGTTTCTTCTTTTTGCGTTAATTTACTGTAAAGACAATTTCTTTTTTACTGTGGGGATACCACAGGGACGTTATGGAGACAGAGAGAAGTGTCGTTCATGCTTTTGGAGTCAAATAATATAGAAAACACGTAAAGTTGTGGTTACAAGTCACTAATTTAACATATTATAGGAGAATTACAGATGATTAGAAAATATAAAGAAGGAAATGTTGAGCCATTTAGTGTTATAAATAATATTTGAAGAATTAGTCAAATAAGGGACCATGTCTTTATTTAGGTCCGTGTCTCCAGGACACTATAGGCTGGTTTGTAGTTACAAAGTCAATAATTAGGCAGTTATTACTGATCACCTGCCTCCTCTATACTCCATTGGTCACAGATGGATCTAATCCTCCCTGTATCCCTCACTGCTCCGCTCTTCTTCTCCAAACACAACACCCACCTGTCCAGCACCACTCTGCAGCACCTTCAGGCCCGTCTCTGACTCCACGAAGCTCTTCTCTGCAACTGAGCATGAAAAAGGCACATTACAACCATTACAATCCCCGTAGTGTTAACTGGAGGTGAAAGACAGTCTCTTGTCTTGTTTTCCTACTTCCTGCAGACACAGAGTGGTGGAAGCCTTTTTTTTGTGTGTCAGTTCTTGACTGTGGTCAAGTCAGTTCTATTCTGGAAACACCCTGCCATTAAATATCCAACTGCTGATCAAGACCGGGGTTGGACATCCCTCCATGCTGCTACCAAGGTGACTGGCTCTTCTATCTGGTACTTATTAAACACGCTGACCAGTTTCAGCTGCAGCTTTCAGACACGCTGCTTCTGTCCCATGGAATAACTTACAACAAACACTAAGGCTCAAAACTCTGGAGTCTCTCAACACTTAGACCTTAGTAAAGCCTCAGTTAATCCCGGCTGGAGATGTTCTGTGCATAATGCTGCCAGACAGCACACTTTCTTTCATCATTCTGTCTTTTTTCATTGCCTTTAGATATCATTGTAAAGTTTGCTTTTACTGAAGTAACAGAATGTTCCAACCTGCTTCTACTCAAATCATGTATTTGCTAAAACTATTTTTTAATTCTAGTTGCAGCAACATTCCTGAAATAAGATGATTTCTGTGGAAGACAAGTTGAAATTGTCAGTCTGTTGGCGCTGTCAGTTTTCCACTTGTTTTATGGAGATTTTGCTCATTTAATGCTTGCTCATTTCTCCATGTACGACTTTGCTCTTTGACACCAAAGTCCGAGCATTACTCTTAAGGAACTGAACGAGTCCAGCTCTTTTTGTTCTGATGTACCTGCTTTGTCTGCCACATCTGCAGCCGTCAGGTTCTCAGAGTTGGGTCTGACCCTGAAGGTGATGGCAGGTCCGACGACGCTGCAGAGGAGAAAACACCACAGCAGAGCTGTATGTGAGTTTTACAGGGAGACGAGGAGGAACTCGAGCATTTTATCTGTGAATTGAATCCAAGCTGATCCTGCGGTGTTACTACAAACACTAAACCCTGGATGAGTAACACTGATGAAGACATTATCACGTCTTATAGCTTTCTTACAAGTTCTACTTCAAATCAACTTGTTTGAAGGAGTTCTAGTTGAATTATTTATGATTCCACTGCAGCAAAATGTAAAATGTTTTTTGAATTGAATTGTACTGAAATGTTCTTAGCTTTGTCTTTTTAATGTAATGTATTTCTATTTTTAACATATTTTTGACTGTAGTTGAAATACACATTACTTCTTGTGGGGTCCAGAACGACTAGCATCGACTTTGTGGACATTATGGGAACCTGAATAAACAATTGCAAACAGACTTGATAAGGACAAGAGGAAGGATAAGCAGAATCGACGCAGAGAATCAGAGGGGCTTCAGGTCACAAAAGCAGCTTTAGGTGAAGGTTTGAACAAGAGGAAGAGGATCCAGAGGCGTCGGCGGGTTTGTCATGACCGGCTGGTCCTACCTGATGCTGGTGAAGGAGCCGGCGGAGAGGCCGATCCTCTCTGACAGCAGCTGCAACACGCGCACCCCATCGTTCAGACTGAGGGGGCTGCAGCAACAAAACACATTTACACACAGAGGCGCAAAAGCTGCGTTCACATCACAGCTGCAGTGACTCAGACCTGATGTGTCCGCAGCAGTGTGAACAGACCAGACCAGATGTCCTCAGATCAGATCTGGGCCACCTGCACATGTGCTCCTAGACCCGATTCCTATACGACTTCTGACTGTGCGAGTGCTGTCAGAACGGTCAGATCAGAATCCATGTGGTCGTTTTAACGTCTCCTCCTCTGCTCATACGGCCTGTCATCATCATTTGGCGTTGGCCCCTCACAGACCGGTAACAATAAACATGGAGGAGAGCGACGACAGCGACGGGGTCAGTGGAGAGACCAGGATATTTCACATGTGGTGGACATTTACAGAGAAGCTTCTGATCAGGCCAAACTGGAAGGAACATATTTGATGTTGCTCTTAGTCTTGTATGCATGTGTCTCACATTTCAGTTAAGACATTTGGTTTTGAAGACTGTGATGGACAAAGACTTAGCTGACTTTGGACAATTACTCAAAATAATGAGAAAATTTCACAAATAAAACAAAATAAAAAGATGTGGATAGGCTCCAAACTGCAACACTGCCATCATTACAGGTCTAAATATATCTGTTATAGTCAATATACAAACTGCATTTATTTGTGAATTTATGGATTTTTTTAGATTCATTCATTTCCTTCTTTTATTCTACTGATTTCTGTGGAATAAAAGTGGCACATAAAACAAGGCACAGTCAGAACTGCACTTTGTGTTTCACATATAGTGTGAACGTGAACCATCAACACACAGAACTGGGCATTAAGGCCTGTGATGAGAGCGGAGCCATACACACATGGACACACACATGACGAGCAGTGGTGGAAGAAGTACTCAAATCCTTTAAGTACCACTATTTACCACTATTACTCTGTGAAAATACTCTAATAAAAGTCCTGCATTCAAAAGCCTTCTTAAGTAACAGCATGTACTGTCAGGAAATTTTATCAAGTATCAAATAGCAAAGTAAACAGTTTGCAGAAGAATAGTCCTTGTTAGTGTTGCATTATTACACAGTACTTTTATTTACCTTTCCTGCTTTTTCTCTAGTTTTACATCATTTCCCAGTCTCCTTCTTCCCTTCCTTCCTTAAAAACTCTCTCCACTATAAATACTTGAGAAGATGATCACCTTTAAATATTTTGTGCTACTGAGTGAAGAATGTGAGTACTCCTTTCACCTACACACAAACACACAGTCTGATCTCACACACACACAACTCACTGCACCTCTGGTTGGTGACGATGTAGCCCACTTTGTCCCCAGTCTGTCCCAGTCTGTCCTGTTTGGATGTTACAGTGGGAGGAGGCTCCTTCTGGGCTGGAATGGTGGAGGGCGGCGCCTTGGGGCTGACCACTCTATACGCCACTAAACCCTCAGTGACCTGATGGCAAAATAAAAACATGTGGAGTCACAGTGATGGTGTGAAGCAGGGAAGCCTAAGTGAGTTCGAGGTGCTGGTGCTATCTACATATATAAAACAGCAGTTTCTTATTTTTACAAAAACCAGTGCAGTTGTGGCTCTTTGTCACATGTCAGATAGATACAACATGTCTACGATTTCACTTTTCTTATATAATCACTGTTACATTACAACTGTGTACAGCCATAACTGTCACATTTTTCTAATTATGCAGATTGTATCAATAAAGAAATGTGATGTTAATGGTCAAAATTCAGAACAGAAGAAACCTTCTCACCTTCTTTCCTGTAGCAGCATCGTTTCCATATTTATCTGGTGTGTGAACACAAAGTACAGAATCACCAGTGTGCATGTGCAAAGATATTTACACATGTATTTGGACACATCGCCTGAAAGCACAGACCCTCACGAATCTCTCTGCCAAGCATTTAAAAACCCTGATATCTCTGTGACAACAGTTGCTTATTGTGCAGTATGAGCACACACTGCAAAACAAAAACAGACAAGTAAAAGCTCATTCTCTAGTTTTGGCTCAGTTTTGCAGGGAACTAATTCTGAGGCATTTTATTTTGGAAAAATCATTTTTGAGTTTGTGCCCAAAAGGGAACACTTGTTAAAGAGTTTAAAATACCAAATAACGCATGTCAGTATACTGAGAGAGAAAACTGTGTCCCGACTGTCACGTGCCAGGACAGAGAAAGAACCACACAACTTCAGTGTTTGTCTCTTCTCCTTATCAATTTGTGCATGACAGACAAGAACTTCAAAGCGAACTTCAGTTCAACAGATGAAAATCCAGGAGAGAAGATCTGCAGTGAGCAGCGACCAACAAGCAGACGATACTACCAACTGATGTGAACTGAAGTACCCACCTTGAATCTGTTTGTGGACGTAGGAGCCCTCCAGCTGCTTCACAGCGGCTGGCAGCTTGTCCTTCTGCTCAGGGGACAGATCCTTCACGTCGAGACCATAGTGGTCTAGCAGCAGCGCCAGCCTCTGCAGAGCACGCTCTACAACACACAGTCACATCTACTGGTAACAGGTTGTACTGGCACTGGCAGAGTATATTTACTCTTCCTCTGCTACAGTTCAGACTGAAATTAAGTCATTTTGTGACCACAAGCAGATATTTTGAATAAAAACTGTTTATTCATCTGTAATTTTGGTGTTGTAATGATAAAACAGGTGGTGTGTATGTGGTGACTCTTTGTCTTCCCCCTTTCTCACCGTCCAGTCCCAACAGGGCATCATACTCTTTTGGTGCCTTCTTCTCAACCTGCTGCTGCTTGCGGAGCTGGGACATCTGGGAAACGTAGTCCTCGCCATAATCCAGTGGGAAGTCCAGCTCCGGGAAGGACGAGGAGGACGAGGGGAACCCTGAAGCTGCAGCGACTGCCCCTCTGTGTAGGGACAGGGACTGCACAGGTGAGGAGGAGGAGGAGGAGGAGGAAGAAGACGAAGAGGAAGGTGAGGTGAGGTAAAAGGACACCAGGTCCTGGAGAAGCTGCTGGTCTCGGTCCAGAGAGTTCCCACGGGATCCAGAGCGAGACGGGGCAGCCAGGAGCGGGAATGCTGGGTTATCATCCAGGGAGTTGAGGGAGCGCTCCTCCTCCTCCTGGTATCCGTACTGCTGCTGCACAAACACAACACACATACACATTAATGTGCATCATAAGTACTTTTGCTACCTCAGGTATATTTTGATGCTAATGTTTTTGTACTTAAGTATCATTTTGACTGCAAGACTTTTACTTGTAACAGAGTATTTTCACACCGCGTTATTACAACTTTTATTTAAGTAAAGGATCTGAGAACAAACATTCATAGTCTTCCCACCTGGTGGTAGGTGTACGGGTCCAGTAGAGGCGCCTGCATGTGAACTGAGGATCGGGAAGGGTCGAGGATCATGTAGTCCACGTACTGCTGCACCACCTTGGGGTCAACTGAATCCTCTGGCCCCTGAACCCTGCGCTGACTGGGCCCTGACACTCTGGATGGCCTGGGAAATAAAACTACTCATTCATCTGAAATAAAGACGATGTTTGTTGTTTTGCTCTGTGAGGCTTCTTACTTTCTGGACGTCTTCTCATCAGGTTTAGAGAAGGAGCCAACAGTGGGAACGTGACTCAGCTCTCGGCTGATGATGGCCTGGGTGATGTCATCCCTCCACGTCAGACCTGAGCAGCCAGAGTGACAGAAACATCAATCAGTGTATCTGCCTGACTTTAGTGACGCTTTAAAGAGACACAGACTCACCTTGCACCACCAGGTCTTTGAGGACTGCCTGCAGCCTGTGCAGGACAGGTACAGACACCAGGTACTGGATGGGCTCCTGGTGAGGAGCCTGGCACTGTCCGAACAACCCATCTGCACAGGAAAAGACTAACAAGTCAGTACAGCCCTGAAGGCCAGAATCAGATTTAGGTTAAGGAATGACTACTGCTTGCCTGCTGCATGCATGTGGGAGGAAAGCTGGGTACGGGAACACAAGATGGCGCCCCACTCATTCCTATGAAAGTTGTTCAGTGGCACATACTCCAGGAAGTCTTTGTGCGACCATAACTACCACTGTGGCACTGAGCCGCTGCCTCCCTGCTGGCTCCTCTCACACAGAAATAGGGCCAAATAAAAATATCCTACAGTGCTTTAGACTTTCCATGTTAGTGGACCCAGTGGATGAAAACCTGATAATAAAGTCATTTTGTGGGATGGAGATGCCCAGAAAAACATATATTATATATTTTATATTATGAAGATGTTCAGCTCTGGAAAGGTTTTACTCATATGAAACCTCCACAAATTAAAAACCAAAAAAAAAAGGTAACTGAGCTGCTTTGTACTTTGAGGTGTCCTGTCTTTAGCTTTATAAACATATCTTTTATCACTGTGGTCCTAGCTGGCAGGCGCCACGGTATCCCGCTTTCCTTATACATCCACAGTAAGGGCCTAGGGGATACATCGTGCCAGTGAGGGTCCTCACAAAGAAATACAAATGTGTGTACAGTGCCTATAAAAGTATTCACCCCCTTTCTACAAAGTAATGTCAATTAAATAAAAATATGTAATGTGAAATAAGTGACTGCATAAATATTCACCCCCTTTAAAATGACTGACCTAATTCAACAGAGGTCCAGCCAACTGGTGCTAGTAGTCTCACAGTTAGTGAAACAGGGATCACCAGAGTGCAGTGAATGTGTCTCAAGTGACTGTAGTATAAAGACACCTGTGTCTGGAAGGTCCAGTCACTGGTTAATCAGTATTCCTGGCTACTGTTACACCATGAAGACAAAAGAACACTCCAAGCAACTCAGAGAAAGGGTTATTGAAAAGTATAAGTCAGGGGATGGATACAAATCATTTCCAAGGCACTGAACATCCCCCAGACTTCAATTAAATCCATCTTCAAGAAATGGAAGGAATATGGCACATGTCTAAATCTGCCTAGATCAGGCCGTCCTCACAGAGTGACCATGAGACTCTGCATACAACAACTGTTGCCGGGGTTCTTCACCAGTCAAAGCTTTATGGGAGACTGGCAAAGAGAAAGTCACTGTTGAAGAAAACTCCTTAAATCTCGACTAGAGTTCACCAGAAGGCATGTGGGAGATTCCATGGTCAAGTGGAAGAAAGTTCTTTAGTGCGATGAGACCAACATGGTGCTTTTTGGCCATCAGACAAGATGCTATGTTTGGTGGACACCAAACGCTGCACATCACCACAAACACACCATCCCCACCATGAAGCACAGTGGTGGCAGCATCACGCTGTGGGGATGCTTCTCGGCAGCCGGCCCTGGAAGGCTTGTAAAGGTAGAGGGTAAAATGAATGTGGCAAAATATAGGAAAATCCTGGAGGACACTCTTATTCAGTCTGCAAGAGAAGTACGGCTTGGGAGAAGATTTATTTTCCAGCAAGACAATGACCTGAAGCATACAGCGAAAGCTACACAGAAATGGTTTAAAGACAAGGTGAGTGTTGTGGAGTGGCCGAGTCAAAGCCTAGACCTCAGTCCAATAGAGAACTTGTGGTTGGACTTAAAGGGCTGTTCATGCCCCATCCCCATGCAACCTGGCAGAGCTTGAACAGTTTTGCAAAAAAGAATGGAGTAAAATTGCAGTGTCCAGATGTGCAAGCCTGACTGAGACCTATCCACACAGACTCAGTGCTGTGACTGCAGCCAGAGGTGCATCTACTAAATACTGACTTGAAGGGGGTGAATATTTATGCAGTCACTTATTTCCCATTACATATTTTTATTTAGTTGACATTTCTTTGTAGAAACCTGTTTTTTAACTTTGACATTAAGGAGGTTTTTTGTCTTTTTTTTTTTTTTTTTAATCAAAAAAGCCAAATATATTGACCATGGTCGATTTATAAAATCAATAAAAGGGTAAAACATCCAAGGGGGTGAATACATTTTATAGGCATTGTATGTGTTTAAGCTGTGGTGAGTCATCACCTCTCTCTCAAACACACACAGTCGTGAGGCAGGTGATGTCACTGTTGTCATAGAGACAGCCAGGACAAGCTGTGATTGGCTGAGAGCAGCTGACGGAGGGGGACTTTGTTTACATTGCACTCTGTTTCTTTCATCTCTCACTCTCTTTATGTTTTCAAATCATCCCTTTCTTTCTGTCAGTTTATCACTGGTTCTTCCTTTCCGTCCTTCTACCACTGTGATGAATTTCATAGACAAATTGGTAATTTTTCACATACACACTTCAGCACAATCATGCACACGCGCCACTGTCAAAAACACACACTTCATAGCTTAATGTCACCTCAGAGCAAAGACACTGAAGTGTAGCAGCTACGTCTGCTGAATTTCAGATGACTGTTTTTAAAAACATTAAAGATTGCTGATGTTTCCAGGCATAGAACGGGCTGTTTTTTCACTGCAGTCTGGAATGTATTTATTTCACTCAAATAATGCACCAGTTCAGTGCATATGATGATGTATTTCTACACAAACCAAATAGTTTTTTAATGAAAGAAATGAAACTTATTTAACTTTAAAACTCCAGAGGCTGAATGCAGATGGGTTGTTTTAGTACACTCTGGAGCTACACTGGTTTTTATGAAAATACTCCAGATTCCAGGGTAACCTTATGAATGAACTGATTTTACTAAAATACTACACATCACAGACATTTAAGGACAAACTGCATTTATTCTCCTTTAATATTCCAGAGGTTTAAGACACATTACAGATATGTGCAGCTACAAAGTGCACTGTTTGTACAGTGCAGTCCAAATCATAGCCTGTTCCTTTCTCTGCCTCACAGCACCATCAAACCCTTGCCTCTTAAGATGGACAGGAAAACACACCGACATCTATAATGCAGCCGCGTCTTTCACTCTGAGGTGCACAGTGACGCACATGCACGCTCTCATACTGACATCGTCATCATGTTTGAACAGGCAGGGAGGAAGCAGGAAACCCACTGAGGGATCACAGTCAGCCTTGTGATAGGAAGGCTGAGCTGCGACAGCTATCCAGCTCCTGATTAACTGATGGACCGAAGACACGTCACTGCTTCCTGTTGCTGCAACACGAGCCTGCTTGGATTGGTCGATTTATGCTCATTACGCTGTATTCAGGATACCGTGAACACAAGCTGCCTAATGGTGAACAAAGTGTCTACATCAGCCTCCAAGAGAAGGATATATGAGCAGCTTGAGCTTCAGCTGGGCCTCAGGAATCACTGAAAACAGAGTCAAAACTGGGAAATAAAGCCTCAACATTTTCCATGTTTTCTCACTTATTGTTTTGTGTTGTCATCTATCCAAAGATCTCGTTTTGACCCAGTAAACAAGATTGTCCTGTAGCGTCCTGTAGTTTCCATGTTCTTTGTCAGAGCTCTCCGTTTCTATTATCACCATAATGTTTGAAGAGATGTCAACATGTTTCAGGAGCTAACAGGGATGGCAGTTTGAGGGCAGTCCAGAGCGCGAGTGTGCTGAGCGTGCGGTTTAAGATGCTGAGGAGCTCCTCGGGACGAGCTCTTTTGTATTTACAGGCATGAACCATCTGAATGACTTGTTTTATTTATCTGGATCTGTGTTGGTGCTACTGTTCTTCAAGTTGAAGGTCTTGTCTTACATGTATCACAGATTTGACTGCTCTTTCAGTTTCACCTAAGCTATTCTTTGTTCATTATTTTAGAACCAAAGGGTTGCAAAACTAATGACATTCTTATTTGCATTCATTCCTTACTGGCATTGAAGTCAAAGCACCACTGCACCTCTTGGTTTGTACAACTATCAAAGGCATCTCTGTGGAAAAAAATCTGATCCAATTAGCAGGATCCATGTCTGAGTGAAGCAGCAACCGTTCAGCTGTGTGGACTCATTTAAAAAGGTCAGTGAAGATGCTGCATCAGAGTTTTACTTGGCTGTGGTGTAATAATGATTACTCAGTGACGCACCAGTTTCAATCCCTGCGCTGTTTGCTCGTTCCACCTCAAAGCCACTTGGAGCTCATGTTTTGTGCTGCATACTGTAAAACATGCATCACTTTTCCCACTTGGTGGAATAAAACACTGGGCAAAGAGCATAAGATGTAAAGGCTCACCATTGCTGCACAGCTGATCCCTCGGACAGAGCTTCTTCTCAAACAGGCAGCCTGCAGACACAAAGTGACAACAAGGAAAAATCAAACGCTGAGGCACGGGAAGAAGCTGAGAGTAAAGGTTAAACTAACAACTCTGATGACAAAGGAAGCTTCAAACCCTACAAAAACAATGATTGCACTGTAATTTTGCATCTAACTCATTATTTGATTGAAAATGAATACAACTAAATATTTAATCAGAATCAGCTTTATTGGCCAGGTGTGTTGGACACATGAGGAATTTGACTCTGGTACAGCGGCGCTCAATGTGTATGTACATGTCCTTATGTAAGGCAGCAATGGGCAAGTAAACAATAGAAGGCTGAGAGAACAGAAAGTAAAGAAGTAAGAAATGTGCAAACAAGCAAATAGAATGTGTTCACAGTCTAGATGCCTTCGACGGATCTATATGTACAAGGTATATTTAAAAGTATTGCACTGAGGGTTATTGTCCAGTCATATCGTCGAGAGTTAAGTTTTAGTCAGAGTGACAGCCTGGGGGAAGAAACTGTCCTTGTCCCTGGTTGTCTTGGTGCACGGCGACCTATAACACCATCCAGAGGGGAGGAGTTCAAACAGATTGTGTCCAGGGTGTGAGGGGTCTGCAGTGATCTTCTCCGCCCTCCTTTTGACCCATGAGGTGTACAGGTCCTCCATGGAGGGCAGACTGGCACCGATGGTTCTTTCTCCAGTCCTGACTGTCTGCTGGAGTCTGTTCCTGTCCTGTTTGGTTGCTGAGCCAAACCAGACACTGAACTTATTTCAAGGTGCATTTTAGTTACTATATTGTCTTTTTTAATTCTACCTTGCCAAATGAAAAGCAGAATTATATCCAGATGTTCAGGAGATTGTCTCCCTTGCACCTCATCGAAGTATGTATTTTAACACGGTAAAACGGCAACCTTAACTTTAAAACACTGTAAAAAAATAAATAAAAAATCTGTTTACTATAGGACTCAGAGGCAGAAATGAGAAGGGGAACCCCAGCCAGAACAGGCAGCTGCACCAGTGTTGCTAAGTGTTTCTGAATGGGAACGTGTGTGTGTGTGTGTGTGTTATAGCTGACCTATTCCTAATATGTCACAAGGCAGTAAACAGGAGCAGATGTGAAGCCACTCGCTCCATTCGGTTTATTTATGCCCGTCTGCCTCGGCTTTTCACTGAGGACTTGTATAATTCCCTGTATTCACCGGGTATCCTGTGATAACTAAGAAAATACTTGGCCCTGCACAAACACACCACACTCTCTTCACCTCGCTTGTGCTGTTGGAACAAACTTTCATTTGCATGTTAATGGTGTTTCCACTCTCGGCTGAGTGAGCCCTAACACCAGTCCACTGTCTTCTTGTCATGTTTGTCTGCTCTTAGGCCTTAAAGTCTAACTCTGTTAAAAATGGGAATTAGAAATCAACAGTTTTTATTCTACCGCTTATTCCATCCTGTTTCAATTCACAAATGTATTGACAGTTTCTGAAACAAGTTGAAATCTACTTATTACAGGCAGATTTCTTTATTTGCACTAGATGATCTATTAATTCCAGTAGTTGGCAGAAGTAAACAAGACAGCATTACTGCAGTAAAATCCACACACAGGAATGTCTACAAACAAGACCGCACTCTTGAACCTTTTTGCCAAGAAACATATAAAACGGGTCCTGTGCACACGGTCGTATCTTGAGAATGCAGTCGGTGAACTGCTTTAATCTACAAATCCCTCAGCCAGAGGACCATTTGTCATCTCATTTACAGTTCAGTCTGAGTGGACTGCGCTGTGGTCAGCTGTACAGATGATAGAGAGACAAATCCTCACGTTGCACCTCAAACCACTCTCTCCATGAAGTTTCCAGTACCAATGTACATTTACTCAAGTACAGTTTTGAGATACTGTATCTGCACTTTGAGTATTTCATTTTCTGCTACTTCATACTTCAACTTTACTACATTACACAGAGAAAAATATTGTACTCTCTGCATTTATTTGATAACTTTAGTTACTATTTACTTTTCAGAATGAGATTTATAAAACTAAATACAATATAATCATAAGACTATTGATCGTCAGTGGGAAATTCACCATGTACCCAGCAATAAGTACTTCAAATTATATGCATACAAAATATTTTAAATTGACTCCCCTTTTACCAACTGCAGCATTAAATTGGTGAACACAATATTATTTCAGTAATTATCTACATTAGTGTGAACTGTGCCCTTCTACATAATGCGTACTTTTACTTTTAGTACTTGAAGTATATTTCGATACTTTTAATTTAGTAAAATTTGGATTGTAGGACTTTTACTTGTAACAGAGTATATTTACACTGTGGTACTGCTACTTTTATTTCTGTAAAGAGCCAGAGTGCTTCTTCCACAACTGGCTGAAACTGTCTAGAGCTGCATCATATGGTACGTTAGCTCAAAATGACAACACGGGCTTAACACGCTGCTTCAACTGTCACAGACAGGCATGACTGTGAATGTCTGTAACCGAGTGATATGTAGGAGATTAAGGTTTAGATATTTATGTTTCAAACACATCTTCCATGGTATAGCTTCACTACTCAATTAGAAAATACTCACACAAGTACAAATGAACATAATCCCACAAAAGGCTATGAACACTGTGGCACAGACATAAATCAGTAATACTGTAATCATCTTCCTCGTATAGTCTCCCTACAACAGTAAACATCTATCAGAAAACAGCACAGTAGTCACACAAACTAGAATAACCAACAGTAAACAACGGCTGTGACACTGCCATGGACATGAACAGACCATTCAGCAGTCTGCAGCAGAGTGCACACTGGCGTATTACACACACACATACTGCAGCTCAACAATTGCACTTCACAGCAGTGAGTCTGTACGTGTTTGAACACCACCTAATGTAAAAGCACACAAAACTGTGCTGCTCGCTTGCAACTCACTAGCAGCTAGAAAACAATGCTGGCAATACACTATGTAAAGTTATCCACAATTTGCCTTGGTCAAATTTCTTGGCTTTATACTGTTCAAATGTGAAAAACTCCAGTCTACGGTTCCATGGTAACGAAGGACGGACCGCTGTGTTGCTAGCCAAGGAGTCCTCTTTGTTTTTAGCTAATGTTAGCTTGTCCTTGGCTGCATTTGCTGACAACAATGGAGAACACACCAAAATATTATCCAGTTTCATCAGTTTTGAAACGTCATATTGCAAATCTAGCTTCTTCTTTCCCTTCAAGCTCCTGGGAGGGTGTGTTTGATCTATGTACCTTCACCTGCTCTGTGAGTGGTGCAATTGTAGCTATAACCTATGAGGAGGTATAATAATTAATGGTAGCGTATAATTAGTACAGCTGACTTAGCGTTTCTGTACACTACATTGATTTACATTATTTGAACATCCATGTTGTCTTGAGAGCCCGCCCAGGTCACAGATGGTGCACTCAATGTCAAGAATCTTTATTGTTGCATAGCACAATGAAATTTTTTCAGCAGCTTTTGGCTTAAAAGACACATTATTTACATAAATAACACAACAATTGTATAAGTCAATATAAAATATGAACAAATCAGGAAGGATGTATGGGACCTAATCAGGTCAGCAGCATGTTTGCAGCAACAGAGTGTAGTAACATTATAAAGTGCAGCTCAGTCCAAATCTCAGTCTTTAGGAAGAGGTGTGAGGTCCAGTGTTCTGTGTCTGTCCATAGGGGGGAGGTTGTGTGTGTGTAACTAGGGGTTAGGGGGGTGATTGATTTCACAGCTCTGGGGAAGAAGCTGTGGCTCAGTCTGTTTGTTTTAGTCTTTATATTCCTGTAACTTTTCCTGGAGGGAAGAGGGACAAACAGACTGTTGCCTGAGTGGATGGGGTCTGCAGCAATCCGTCTGGCCCTCCTCTGGATCCGGTCAGTGTATAGTGAGTCCAGATCCAGAAGAGGACTCCCTACGATGCCCTGAGCTGTTCTCACCACCCGGGTCAAGTCCTTTCTGCCCTGTGCAGTGCAGCTCCCATAACACACTGTCGCACTGAGACAGAGGATGCTTTCTACTGTCACTCTGTAGAAGTTTGTGAGCAGCTGAGAGGAGAGACCAGCGCGTTTCAGCTTCCTGAGGAAGAAAAGCCTTTGCTGGGCTTTCTTCACCACGTAGGATGTGTTCAGAGACCAGGTCATGTCAGATGTGATGTGGATGCCCAGGAACCTGATGTTATCCACTTGCTCCGCCACCTCCCCATGTATGAGAAGAGGAGCATATTTTGTCTTCCTGGACCTCCTATAATCCACAATGACCTCCTTAGTCTTGTTGGTGTTCAGGACAAGACTGTTATCTGAACACCACCTTGTCAGGTGCTGGATCTCCTCTCTGTAGTGAGTCTCATCATTGTCTGAGATGAGACCCACTACGGTGGTGTTGTCTGCCAACTTCACTACTGTGTTTGTGGGGTGAATGGCATAACAGTCATGAGTAAACAGAGTGAAGAGAACTGGGCTGAGCACACAGCCCTGTGGTGCACCTGTGTTTAGGATCAGTGTGGATGATGTGCAGCTTCCAATTCTCACCACTTGAGGCCTGTTAGTGAGGAAGTCTTTAATCCAATGACACATCATTGCAGGCATTCCCAGATTGTGCAGTTTCAGTGCCACTTTGTCTGGGATTACAGTATTAAATGCCAAACTGAAGTCAACAAATAGCGTTCTAACATAAGTGTTAGGATGCTCCAGGTGGGACAGGGCTGTGTGTAATGCTATTGAGACATCATCCTCTGTTGATTGGTTCTCTCTGTAGGTGAACTGGTGGCTGTCCAGATCAACAGGGATGACGTCCTTGATGTGCTTTATAATGATCCTCTCAAAGCACTTCATGATTACTGGTGTCAGAGCAACAGGGCAGTAATCATTGAGGCAGGTGACAGCTGATTTCTTGGGCACAAGCACAATGATGGAGGACTTGAGGCACACAGGGACTGAAGCAAGATGCAGGGACAGGTTAAAAATGTCCAGGAAAGTATGGAAGCGTGCAAAGAAACTATTCTGAGTGTCAGGGAGGGTGGGATCATGGCTGACCTGCTGGTTGTTGCTTCTGTAGTCTGTTATTGTTTTGATGCCTCTCCACATACTCTGTGTGTTGTTATTCATAAAGCGCCCCTCAATGCGCTGTTTGTACCTGTGTTTGGCCAGCCAGGTGCCCTTCTTTAGTTCTTTCCGGGCCCTGCTATAGGCCAGCCTGTCACCTGATCTGAAAGCAGCGTCCTGAGCTTTGAGAAGAGGTGACACTGTACTGTCCAACCATGGTTTCTGGTTTGGAAAAACCCTGATGGACTTTGTAGGTAGGACAACATCAGTACAGAACTGCACATAGTCCAAAACAGCTGATGTATAAGCCTCCAGGTCTGAGCCCTCTTTGAACACCCCCCAATCAGTATGCTCAAAACAGTCCTGTAATGCTGAAGAAGCCTCCTCAATCCACACCTTAACTGTTTTGGTGATTGGTTTTGTCCTGCAGATCAGAGGTTTATATGCTGGGATCAGCTCCACAGAGATGTGATCTGACATGCCCAGGTGTGGAGCTGCTATGGCCCAGTATGCTCCCGGGATATTGCAATAAACTCGAATCTGTAGAATTTAGGAAACACTGCTTTAGGTTGCACCTGGTTAAAGTCTCCAGCCACAATCACAGCCACGTCTGGGTTCCTGGTGCAGCTGCACCACTTCCACCCCCTGAGGATTAATGACAGTTTTCAGAGGTTTCAGCCCATCTTGATGTCTCAGGCAAACTTTCTTTTACCTAAAATCTATACAAACAACCAGACAGAGTACCAAGGACACAAACAAAGGAGGCTCCCTGTGCTGCAGCTATCAGAGAGGGACTCTCCATTAAAGCAGAAAGATGCGACACAGCTAAACATAGAGATTCTCCATGCATGTACCCGGCGCCTCCTCCGTCCAAGCTCTACATGATGACTAATCTCTGCTCTGTCCTCCGCCCACACATCCCCCCCCTTCATCTGTTTCTAGAAGGCCTCAGTCTTGTTCACCTCACTGTGCCGTCTGTCCATCACTGTCACCACCTCGTCTAACACACAGCACTACCTACCAATTAGAAGAAACTGCAGTGTAACCGATTCACCGATGGCTGCACTGTCAAAAAGCACCCAACTAGAGCCTCATCTCACTGCAGCTAATACTCTTTTTTATCACAAGGAATATGTGCAACAGAAACCTGGGCTATGCAGAAACCACGTAAAAGGCCATTACAGCAGGACTATGGAGCCACAATTGCCACAGATTGACAGCAATACAAAGCACCTCCTTTAGCTTCACTTCGTTCTTCAGTCAGTTTCTTTAAAAACAGTTAAATAAACTGTAGCTGAACAGTCACACGAGTAGAGGAGCCATTTAACCATGTCCACCAATGATTTAAACAGTTTGCTTACACTTCACCGGAGCTCAACCATCACAGTAAAATATCAGAAACTGGTCACATGACACACTGAACACGGCTCTATTCTGTATGAGGGACATCTAATGAAGGGCTCTTAACAGGATGATGCATCAGTGGCAGAGGAAAGTGGGACTAAATCTGGCCTTTAAATGAATAAGTGCCTTCTAGAAGAACAGGACAAATGAGCCAATAAACAATTTGGAAAGAACATCACTTTCATTTGCATGCTCCATACTGTTTCTCTGCAGCTTTGTGTGTGACTGCTAATATACGATTTGTGTGGAAAATCAGGCTGAGTCACAATCACCATCACTGTCTCCGTGCTTTTAACTTCAATTAACTGTGGTTCCACAGTGCTGCTGCTGCTGCATCTATGGCTCGTTCTTCACTCTGTAGGCCAACGCTGGATATTTAAACTGGAATGAGTCAGAATAAGTGTGGCTGAGTGGCAGCGAGGTTCCGGGCCCTCTCAGCTCAGGTAACTTCTGAACTTTATCCTGACTCACACTCATCACTGGGCCTGCAGCTCGCTGTGCTCTGCAAACCCCGAGTTAAAGCCTGGTGGTATTTTATAGCCATCTTCTGGTAAACAAAGATCGGTCCTGTGTGTGTCACATCCTGATACATCTCCCTCCTCTGAACCACAGAGCTCCAACGAGTCCAGGAACTGTTAAAGCCCATCAATGACCACACCGCTGCACTGGGAGACACTTTAGTAGTCAGAAAGCTCTGAGAAACACACAGACACTCTGTGTTGCCTTTGGTCATTTAAGGGAATTA